TTGCTCAAAATTGCTCAAAGGATGTGGAACTCCCTCAACTCCACCTCGTCCACCGCCCAGTCCGTCCTTCACGCGCCCGAATCGAGTAGCAATGGGCTGTGTGTGGGGGGAGAAGGGGCCGATCGGTCATGCTGTCACTTGGTGTCTCTCGTTCTCCCTCTTCCTGTGTCGCTTTAGCCCTGCCCAAAACCGATAGACAACCTTTAGGGAAGAACCATAGACGGCGCTGTCCAATTTCCCCATCTCCTTCCGCCACTCCATTACGCTCCAATTTACGGCCCGTTATGTCATTGGGATGTGAATTTATGGCGTTATGATGTTGTCGCGGGTTTTAAAGGGATGGCGACAGCCGGGAGAAATAGCTATTGACCAAATTTTCGAGATTGTCTGGGATTGGGCTTGGGCTTAGGCTTGGCTTGTGCTTGGGATTAGGCTTACGCTTAGACTTAGCCTTAGGAATAACCTACCCGAACCCAAGATACCGATCTCAATAATTACCGGATACGCGGTTCCGTCCCGATCCCCACATCGTTAATAGGATGTGACAGGACTACCCTTAGCCCCAGGCCATCAATCCCACTGATCTGCACACAGATTTGGGGTGCAGATCATCGAGATGATCCCCTAGTGGACCCCACCATTTTCGGGACTAATTTTGGGCTAGGGGTATCTTTATCTTTGTTATAGGTTTATGGGGGATTGAAAAAGCCGAGAGCGAGATAGAGAGAGAGAGAGAGAGAGAGCGAGAGAGAGAGAGGGGAGAGTGAGAGACTGGCTTCCTATAGGCCATTAGTGCGCTTTTCCGTTTCCGCGTCTTTCAAGGGAAGCGTGGCAGCTCCTACCCTCCCTAACCTTAATGCCCTTTCAAGTGACATCTCTCTCCCTCTCTCTCCTATCATCTCTCTAGCCAGAGTATTGAGATGAGGGATGGGCCCCGTTGTGGCCCTTCTCTTGCTCTATCTCTTCCTCCTCGACCAGTCAGTTGTCGGCAACTGGGCCACAGTGGCCCTTGCCGGCTGGCTGGCCGAACGCTTCGAGGCCCATTTATCGACCACCATCACTCGCTAGCCACTCCCCTCCCGTCGCGACCGGAAATTTATGAGCTTTTGATTCGTGTTGCAAGTTGGGGCTGGGATTTCCGTTTTAATCTTGTTTTAAACGTTTTCATACGCTTTGAAAAATTTTGAACTTCCTTTCTTTTCTTGTTGTTGTTAAAACTACATTAGTGTTTCATTTTTTAGGTATATTAAAATACTCGAAATCCATAACCGTTTTAGCAATATTACAAGAGTTTAGAAAGGTCGAATTTGTCTTCGTAGCTCTTTAAAATGCGAGTTTTGGGCCATTTTCTAAGATAAAACCAAACGTCATCTTTTTCTCGGTTTTTGGCGACATTCCAGGAGTCCAGCAACATCCTATTTGCATTGTTTGCCTTTTTAAAAATCGTTCTTATTAGCTTTTTTAAAGATAACCCTAAAGATCCAATCTTCTTCAAATTTCTTCCACATTTTACTGGTCTAGAAAAGACGCATTTGCCTTGATAGCTCATTTAAAATGTCTTTTTTCTGTTTTTTTTTACATTTTTGAAGAAATTCGGCTAGAACGACTATTCTAAAGGCACTCTAAAAATGTTGCGACCCGTCCGACGCGCTCCTTTTTCACCCCTCGACCCCCCGCCCGCACCCATTTATCCTCGAGCACCCATTCCACGGCTCGTCCCGCCAAATTTATGACCCCGAGGAGCTCGGCGACCGGGTTCCCGATTTGTGGCGAAAAATCGCAGGGAATGAGGGTGCTAAAGCGTGAAAAACGTCGCGTAATCGGTTACTGAATACCTAAAATTGGTTAGGAAGCCATTAGCGTTGCAAAGGTGGCGTCGTTTTTAGTTTTAGAGCTACAGAAAATGCAAAATCTACCCGTTCTCTGTACTAGGTGTTGACAGCTACGTGATGCGCCTAATGACGCAGAAACTTGCTTCGTTAATATTTACCATCACATGCAGGCCCGTAGCGGAACCGAAATTTCGGGGGCGGCCAAAAATCTTGGCGACCTCCCCCCCGGTCGCCACTTTTTAAAACATCCGAAAATCGCGTCAATAATAGCGCCGCAGGCAAAGAAAATAGCAAAAGGCGTTCGCTACACTCAAATTCGTGGGAAAACACGGCAGAAACCGCGCCGCAGGCGAAAATTTTCTATGAACAATTGATTCACCAATGAAAAACCAGCGCCGCAGGCAAAAAATTTTGAAAAAATATGCTTCATATACGAAAAAACGGTTTTAAAAACAGTAATAAACAGCGCCGCAGGCAAAAAAATTTTTGTAACTAAAAATCATAAGGGTCCCCCCTTATGAATTTTTCGGACCGCGACCGATTTCGGGGGGCCCAGGGCCCCCTGGGCCCCCCTCCTACGGGCCTGATCACATGTAAAATCAATTACCGTTAGGTGTATTTTGGTATGCCGCGTAGTTGTCTAGACCGATCTGGTAAAACGGGTCGATTCCCGCGCTTATTAATGCCTTGAGGAACCCACACAAATGAGCAGGAAAATCTTAAATCAGGCTAATCTAGCCATAGGCGTAGGCTTAGGCTTAGGCTTCGGCTTAGGCTGAGGCTTAGGCTTAGGCTTAGGCTTAGGCTTAGGCTTAGGCTTAGGCTTCGGCTTAGGCTGAGGGTTAGGCTTAGGCTTAGGCTTAGGCTTAGGCTTAGGCTTCGGCTTCGGCTTCGGCTTAGGCTTAGGTTTAGGCTTAGGCTTAGGCTTAGGCTTAGGCTTAGGCTTCGGCTTCGGCTTCGGCTTAGGCTTAGGCTTAGGTTTAGGCTTAGGCTTAGGCTTAGGCTTAGGCGTAGGCTTAGACTTAGGCTTAGGCTTAGGCTTAGGCTTAGGCATAGGCTTAGGCTTAGGCTTAGGCTTCGGCTTAGGCTTAGGCTTAGGTTAGGCTTATGCTGAGCAGAATTTGTGGCTCGATCAGTACACCCTCAGAGCTATCACCCAGCAGTACGGGCGGTATTTAGAGTGTGTGGTGGACACGTGTGTGTGTGTGTGTGTGTGTTGTGTGTATTTGGGTGGAACACAGGGTAAATAAGCCTTCGACGGCCTCTTCTTCCTCATCATCATCCTCCGGCCTAACGCACCCTACCCCACGGACCGTCGATTGTGGCCAATATTGGCCCAGCAGAGGGGGTGCGGATAGTCTTACACGTTCAACCACCCGGCCATCGCCTACAAAGGCTTATTAGCAGGGTCCAATTACTGGATGAGGTCTTTGTGTCTTTTAAAGCCTAAGCTAAAGGGGCGACGACAGCCCTCTCTCTCTCTCTCTCTCGCTCTCTCTCGTCTACCTTCGAACTCCCCTTGATGTGCAAGCCATTTGTTTTTCTGCTCATTCCGCTCATTCTCATCGATAGCAAGGCCCCCTTGGCCCTTCCGCCCCTCCTCCACCCCAAGGGGGTCAAGTGGGTCACATGGCGCGCGTGTGTCCATCCGCCCTTCATTTGCCTTCAAATCTCATTATTTTGGGCCCCCGGCTGGACTGGGCCCACTCGCCAGACGATGTTCATTTGGGCGCTGGGCGAAGATCCTGGATTTAGCCGGTCAACATCACTTTAAAACGTGACCTTTTAAGTTGGGCTTAGGCTTAGGCTTACGCTTAGACTTCCCTTAGGCTTGGGCTTAAGCTTAGGCTTGGCTTAAGCTTAGGCTTAGGCGTAGGCTTTGGCTAAATCATCCTGAAAAATCGCCCTGACAAACGTCTTGAAAAGAAACTAGGTATGCCTGCGGGATGTTTGTAAACATTCCCCCAGGGAATGGCAGCACGCCTTTCTTGCTTGCTCTCTCTCTTTCTCACTCTCTCTTTCTCTCTCGCTCTCGCTTTCGAGCCGTGAGAAACGAGCTTGATTTAGGGCTTTTTCCAGAATTGATATGCTTCCCCCGAGCGGAGCCGGGCTTATCCGAAAAAAGCCGGGAGTTTCTCCTGCCCTTACCAGCTGAAAAATAGCTTTATGCCAATTTTTCTAAATTTGTCGGCATTTTTGTTTGTCGGTATTTTTTCTATCGACAATAACAGAATTCCAAAGCATCGAATTTTCCGCCTATTTCAATTGATGCTCCATAATAAAATAGTTTTATGCCAATCTAAAATTGACGACGGTTTTCTTTGTCGGTAGTTTCGTTTTCGTCAATTTACAAACCCCAAAACGTGTAATTTCCGTCAATTTCCATTCGCCAGGCCCCCCGATCGTCATACTAAAGGGAATTAGATGGGTCTCGAAAATTGGAGGGCGAGGAATTACCCGCAACCCGCATCCTCCCTTCCCTTTTTCACCAGACAAAAACGCCCCTGGGGTCGTACAGCTGTCGTGGGTGCAATTTTCGCCTTGCTCGTCCCTTTAAATCCATGCTTTCGTATTTTTCGGCAGTTATGCAAGGCCCAATTGTCTCTGCTAGCTGATTCGTCTGGAAAGACCGAAAAATCGAAATCGGCTTCACCATCTTTTAGTGTTGAAAATGTCGATAGGAAATCTATCTTATGACTCATTTCTGGCTTGTCAGTTCCTTTAAAAGGTTTATTAACCATATTTCTCGATCACTAATAGTCTCTGCTAGCCTGCCCACCTGAAAAAAAAATCGTGTGATGGCTCGCGGAATAATTTCTACGACCGGGCAGGCGTTGATTTATCCAGATTTTTGGCTTCTAGGCTCTTTAATTGTATGTAAATCGATGTTTCTCGCTCGTTTTTTCTCCACAATGGTCTCTGCTAGCCTGCCACGACTCTCGAAAGATGCCAATTCTCGAAATGCTGAAAATACACAAAATTTTAATTTCATGAAAATTTTGTATTTAATACCCTTTTCCAATCTCCAATGATCTCTGCTAGCCTGCCTCACCTTCAACGTCTCGAAATTTCTGGATTTTATAAATTTTTTATCTATTTCTTCGATTTTCATCTGAATCCTTGAATCCTTAAATTCTAATCAGGGGGCCCCAGGATCCGGATGCAAAAATGAGCAACGATACGGGGAGCACGAGCTCCACGATTTCCGATGTAACCGATGAGTCTAGAAAGGATGGGATGCCGTCGACGTCTCGACCATACATCCGTCTCGCCTCAGAGCTGAGGAATATGACGAAGGATTCCGGGGAAGAGGTATTTTTGCCTTCATAAACCCTATAAGATCGCGAATTTAGGTTCGATTCCGGTGTGAAGCCCTCGGAACGCCGCCGTTGACGTTTAGGTGCGATTTTTTAGAGTTTCTTGTTGTCCTTGTCCCTTTAAACGCCTCTGATATTTTTTGATAAATTCGTATAAAAAATCGGGTCTTAAACGGCTGGGACTGTACCTTTAGCTGAAACCTAAAGCTTCGGAAAAGCTTTGAAGCACATTTTCTTGAAAAATTAGCTTTTTCTTGCAGTCATTGTCCGTTTAAAAAAATCCTTAATACTTTTCTGGTGGTTTCCTTTGCGAAAAACATGGTTCACCTAGCTGTCACTCCCCCTTTAAAGCCTCTATACGCGGGAAAATTTAAAGCAAAATCTATATGTTTTTCAGTTGGCTAAAAAACCACGCTCCCGTCGAGAAATCGCGACGGGTGAAGATCAAAAATCGCGAGAGCTCCTCCCGATTGGTCATCCAGCATCTCGATGTCCTCGACAGCGGGTAGGCACATTTTTTGTAGGCTCACACGTTCCTTTAGACCTGGGTTGTGACTTCCACGTCCCTTTAAAATGCTTTTTTTAGCTTTTACCAATGCGTCGTTTCCAACGCTGCGGCCAGCGTCAACACCACCAGCATACTTCGGGTTGGTTTTTATAAAAAAACCAGGGTTGAAAAACCGCTTCGCGGCTTTTCAACCCTGGCCCCGTTTTAAAGCACATTGTAGTCAAAAATATGCAGATTCTTCCAGGACCTTGATCGCAAAAAAATCAAAAGAACCCCTTCTGCGCCCTTATATAGGCTTACCCCACTTCCGGTGCATGCTAATTGCCTCCTAACAAAGAGGTTTCGCGATATCTTTACAAAAACTCAATTTTAATAGCGAAAACAGTAATTTTTCCAAACCTTTGATGTGTGTGCACTCATCTCGGCGCCATTACGCACCTAATGACGTATCATACGACCCTTAAAAGCCTTCCCCTGAGGCTGTAGGTGCGGTACATACTCACGGAAGTTGCATGCAAATATACACACACACAAACACTATTTTTTTTTATATATAGTAGGATCATTGTTTTTCTTGACTTTGATTTGCTTTTTCTGCACTTTGCATGGCTTTTTTGCCTTCTAGGACCCTTTAATACGTTCAAAACTCGTTTTTCCTTTCTTCCAACCTCGTTATGTTGTTAAACTCAGGGATTTCTTGCCTTCCCATCCCCTTTAAACCCTTCGATTTCTTCGGTCTATCCTTGCGCCCATTTGCACTGTCAATCTGAGCCGGCCATCTGCTCGCCCGCACTCTTTTTTCACATTTTTCCGACCCACACCCCCAAAAAATCGTCGCTCAAGTGATCCGGGGCCCAGCTGCATTTTTGGACTTTCTGTTCAGACTTAGGCTTAGGCTGAGGTTCGGGCTTAGGCTTAGGCTTAGGCTTAGGCCTAGGCTTAGTCTTAGGCTTTTCCATGCCTTTAAACCTACCCAGTCCCTTCAAAACGCGCCATTTCGCCGGCTGCCCTCGCCCATTTTCGTACCAATGGCCCAGTGTGTCTTTTCTGCCCTCATCCCCATTCCGTTTCCATCCTTCTTCCATCCCTCCACACCAAATTAGGAGTACCCCAGCCGGGGGGACAAAGGAACCCTTCGGAATGGAATGACCACCATCCCACTACACCCCAATACAAATGACATTGCGGGATGGGTACGATTCGCGGGGTTGGGGTTCCTGATTTGGCAAATGCCTTGGGAAATTCTTAAATCGGTTTGGAAGGTACTGGCAAGAGCGGAGGTTCACAGAATTCTTTCGGCAAACCGCCAAAACGGTCTGCCCACTCAGTCCGTTCCTGAAGAACCATGCCAGCCTGCCCTTACCTAAAGAATCCCTGCTAGCCTGCACTTTCCTGAGGAATCTCTGCTAGCCTGCCCTGTCTTAAACAATCTCTGCTTTCTCGCTCTCTCGCTCTATTTTCGCCAATTTTTTTTACATTTCGTATTAGTCATCAATTCTGGGCCTCCCCTTCCGGTCCCGGTCCTCGATTGTCGCTCCCCGATGCACCCCTGGACGTTTTGGAATTAGGTTCTCGTCCCGGGCCACAGACATCGGCCCCACATTTCGTTGCGAAATGGCCTCCGTTTTCAACATACTAGCCGCCGGCAAAGATTGGCCATATTTTTGGGGGGACTAGAAAAATATGGGAACGCTATGCAAATGTGGTTTTTGGGTTTTGTACCCTTTTACGGCCAATTTCCTGCAAAAACGCGCAATTTATCGAAAAACAAACCGATAAAGTAACATTTTCTTACCGAGTTTAAGGCTAGTTCTAGGGTTTTGATGCCATTCCTCTCTCTAAATTTGCATAAAACCCTTGAAATTTGTGCGAATACGAGTTGCGAACTTTTAAAATCTAGTTTCCAGCGATTTTCATAAAAATACTGGTCGAAATTCACCAAAAACCGATTGGAAATATTTATGCAGATTTATTATCGATTTTATGCTAGTTTGAAATCTTTTTAGGGTTATCTAGCTCCAAACTTTGCATAGGAAAGCTCGAAACTCCATCGCCATTTTGTTGCGCGGCTCGTAAATTGCGCAATCGCGTAACTCGATCGTAATTTCCACCATTTTCGACGCCCAAATGGCTGTTTTTCTCTCGCTGCTTTTCGATCGCACTTGCCGATGGCCCCGATTGCAACGGGCGATATACACGACGAGGCAGCAAGTGTGAAAAGTGGGCGCGGCTGTGTGTGAGCGCCCGTTTTTCAGCGCGTTTTTCCCGGGGGTCGCGGGTCGGGCTGGGGTCGGATTGTAATCCGGTACAGCTGGACGCTCAAGGCGAAAAGGGTTGTTTAGAGTAGTTGTTCCTTTTGGATTGTGCATAGATTTAGGCTTAGGCTTAGGTTTAGGCCTAAGCCGAGGCTTCGCTTAGGCTTCGGCTTAGGCTTTCTTCAACCCTACCACATACTATAACCCTCAAACCCATTCCGTTCCGCTGCAAAATACGACTTGTCAGCAACACCTCTCTCCCTGCTCTAAACTCTCAATCCAAAGCAAAGCTGCCCCCTCACCTCCGCTCCCCCCTCACATCTTTGCCGCCCTAATCCCCTCGTTATCAATCTGCAGCCCCGCTTTAATCATTTGAGACTGGGGGTCTATTTTCCGAATATTCCCCCTCTCCCAAAACGGCCGTTCCCCCCTCACTGTCGGCGGGGGCACTAAAACGCAATTTACGACTCCCGGAAAACTGGCAGGCTGGCGGCATCCTGGAGGGCCCACCGCCCAGGTGAGGTCAAATGGTTTTTCCGTGTTTTTAGAGCCACCAGGGATCTCTGCAAATTGCCTTTATGGTGAATTCGGTTCTTTTGCATTATCCGGGGGGTGGGGGGCGGAACTTTCTTTTCCAATTCTAAAAATGGCTAGTAACGTGATAGAACCTGTTTTAATCGTGTTTTTAGAAAACTTCAGAAAAAGTCGGAATCTGGGTAGATATTTTGGTTTTTTTATACGAATTTGTAAGGTTTTTACGTTTAGGAATAGTCAAAAACTATTCTGAAACACGTCCAGTATTCATATTTGAAAATTTAGATCCTAAGAAAAAGTTTCCTCCCAATCATGCGAAAGGACCGGTAAATTCTTCAAAGAATCTCTGCTAGCTACCCTTCATTTTTCAACATTTTTCTAAGCAACAAGTGCCCTTCCTTCCAAAAGCTTTTCTCAACCCTCTTCCCCTGCCTAGCTGTCAAGTGTTGCCTGCCGGGGGTCATTTTTTTAGGGCCCAAGACATAGGGCCACCCCGGGGGCCCTTTCTGCAATCATTTTTCCGGGGTCCGGGCGGAGGGGGAGGAGATTCTCGACCCAAACTTTTAGCTTTATTACGTGGGAAACTGGCCTTGAGGAATTATATAGTATTTCATCGCTTTGAATTTCGAAGCGGCTTTGGATTCCTGCCTTGCTAGCACCTTTAAAACAATTTTTGTTGCCATTTCTGAAGAATCTAGACTTTCATATTTAGAAAAACTTTTGCTTGAATCATAGTAAGCCTAAGCCTATGCCTAAGCTTAAGCCGACCCCAAGCCGAATTCTTGATAGAACTTGGCAATTCCTGCCTCCACAGCCCCTTTAATGCTACCATGACCCTCGGGCGAGGATCATCCCGTGCTCGAAGCCCCCAAAACCCTCGCCCCGCTATGCATTTAGATGAGCATTATCTACCCTCTCCTTATAGGCATGATATAACGTATCGTAGATCGAAAATATCGTTGTTGTTAGGCAGGTTTCGGAATTTTTATAGGATAATTCGTCGAAGCACCGATAGAGTCTTGCTTCCCTGTACCTTTAAGTTTCTAAAATGCATGGTCGATCCTTTTTTACTTCAAAGTATTATCAATCTACTAAAACGGAATTTTCCATATACAAGCACGTTTTAGAATTTAGTTTTTTGCTCTAGATTTATCTTTCGGCATTTTCTGCCTTCCTGGTCCCTTTAAAAAAACTCCTTTAACAGTTTTGACGCCAGGTTTTGATAGTGTTTTTAGATAGAGACCGCATATTTACAGAGAACATATTTTTTTACCACCCGTTCGGCGCTTCTTTTCGGAGTCCCATTATCCCATGCTCCCCAAGTGCACCACCCTCGACAGTCTGCATGCATATGTTGGGTGTGGTGCCCACTCCATTAGTATGCTGGGATGGATGGTGCTGTGGCTCCCGCCCTGTAGGGCCCGCGCTTTTCGGGCGGCATTCAAAAAATGTGGACCCTGGCCTCGGTAAAAACCCTTGCTCAAGCGTCTGCTAACTTGCCCTTGCTTAGTTTTGGATAAAAACGATTTTTCTGCTTGTTACATCCTCAAGAATCTTTGCTAGCACGCCGTGACGACATCGATTCTGCCGGTTTCGGTCGTTTTCGGCCTTCAAAACCAATTTCCCTAAGGATCTCCGTTAGCTTACTTTAAATTAACTTTTTGCTAAAAACAAATTTTGTGATTTGTACTCGTCCCAGGCATCCTTTCTTCTAGCAGTCCTTGCCGCCTTAATTCGAAAAGTTCGGCTTTTTTGGACCCTATATCAGCGCAATTCCGGTTTTTTGTCATTGATTCACCCTTCCTAAATGGCCTCTGCTGGCTTGCCTTATTTTTGATTTGCAAAAATAATCATTTTTAGCGCCCAGGCTTCTTCAAAAATCTCTGCTAGCTCGGCAGCAGTCCTTTTCTACCCGTAAAAATTTGTGACCTCGTTCCTAGGCCCGTTTTAGTGAACTTTAAAGATACCTGGAAGCCAAGAATCTTAAGAATGCTGTAGTCCCGATTTCCCATTCCTCTTAACCTTCCGAATCTTGCATCCTTTGGCCGGTGGCCAGCGTGGCCGGCGAGCTGGCCTGGGTGGATGGGGGTGGGTGGGCTAGTGTGCCGCCTGCCTCGATTAATCAGAATGGCATAGAGAGGAGGGCGAGAGAAAGAGAGCGAGAGAGAGAGAGAGAGAGAGAGAGTGACGCCGGCCATCGGCCCCAGCCATCGGAGGGGAGGACCTCAACCCCCGATTGAGACATTGACACCACCACCACCACAGCCATACACCCCATTCAACCTCCCATTTATTTGCCTGGCATTGCTCGCTTTTTCAAGGGCCGTTGAAGGCAAAATCCTAGCGCTAATTTGCATTTTTGGAAGTTCATTAACCTTAAAATATTGCGACTTTAAAGGGCGGCATAAGGAAAGGCTGAGTTTTGGGCATAGATTTAGGCTCAGGCTTAGGCTTAGGCTTTGCCTTGGACTTAGCTTAGGCTTAGGCTTAGGCTTAGGCTTAGGCTTAGGCTTGGTAGGCTTAGCCTTAGACTTGGCTTAGGCTTAGGCGTCTCCGAAATCCAGTTCTTTTGAAAATTGAGGTCAGGATCCCCTTCTTAATTTGCATATTTTCGAGGTTTTTCTGAAGTATGCGCTTTTTCAAACCCGTTATTTTTTCATGACTTCCCGGCGCCTTTAGACCTCCCGACTCCTTTTTCTGTAACTCCCAATGAATGGACTCACCGCCAATAACCGTTCCCACGCCCCGACCCCCACATTAATGGGCGCACCTAACGAGCTCGGGGGCTCGGGGAGTCGACTCGTCCGACTTGGCCAAGTGCCAACCCCCCTTGACATGGCCTTTGTCTCTTTGCTACTCATCACTCACTCACTCGGCCGGCATTGGGCTGGGGTGTCTAAGGTTCTCTGGGCAGTTTTAGGTCGATTCCACGTTCCACAAGGGTCGGTGATAGTCTAACTTAATTTCTAGCCATTTTTCTAGTCGCTTTGCCCCAATCACGCCAATTAGACAAATTAGCAACAATTTTGGAGGAATTTCTGGTCATTCTTTGGCGCAGTTTGGAGTCAAATGGACTGGGAAGCGATCAAAATCGTGGATTTTAACAGGAACTAGCTCTCTCTTTATCTCTCTCGCTTTCGCTCACTCTCTCGTCCTTCTTTCTCTCGTGCTCTCTTTCTCTCTCTCTCTATCCCTGGCTCTCTATCTCTCTTCCCTTCTCTCTCGCTCTCTTTGTCTGTCTCACGCTCTCTCTCTCTCGCTGTCGCCCTCGTTCTTGCACTCACTCGCTCTCTCTCTCTCTCTCTCTCTCTCTCTCTCTCTCTCTCTCTCTCTCTCTCTCTCTCTCTCTCTCTCCTAAGAAACCCAACATTTTCAAACGATCCTCCTCCCCTTAATGATTGTCTTTCTCTCCCCTTTAGGGTATATGTTGAATGCCCTTCTGCCATTCGCGTGGGTCTTCTGCTTGTGGTGTGCCAGATGTTATCAATCAATCAACATGCCCCGAGGCCATTCCCCCCTATAGAATCCCCCCACCATCTCCCCTTCTGCCCAAAATTGGGTGCCAAACGGCCATAAATCCCAGCCCGCGCATATCAATTCCCTAAAGTTCCCCCTAAGCGCCTGGCGGACAGATTGATGCGCCGGATTAGACACGCGCTTCTGACTTTCCGCGAGTTTCCTATGAACTTGTTTCCTAATATTAGCGCTATTAAATGACTCTAAAATCCGCTTAAATCGCTGTAAGCTACGAATTACACCAAATTCCGTTTCCCTACACCCGATTTTTCAGGTGGTGAATGTCCCGGGGAAGGACGTGAAAAACCGGAAGCGCCCATCTGACGAGGACTACGACGAGTACGAGGCCATGGAGAGGGGACGGTTGCCCCACGAGGAAGAAGCTGACCTTTACGCTGTGCCGGACACGGCTGCCGGAACCGGATACGCACCAATGGGCACGACGTCGGCAAGATGGTTGGATAGGATTAAGGTAGAAATTCGGGTTGGGATTGACTTAGACTTAGTATAGACTTGGCTTAGGCTTAGGATTAAGCTTTGTTTAGGTTTGGCTTAGGCTTAAGCTTAGGCTTGGCTTAGGTTTAGGCTTGGGCTTAGACTTAAGCTCTCCTACCTTCAAAGTCAGCTTTTTCCCTTTCAGATGAAGCCCGGCGAGTGTATCCCTTACCGGGGAGAAGCCTGCAAGCATTTTTTGGCCGGCCGAAGCGTGCTAATCACCAGCGAGAGCAGGGAGGACATGTATGACGTCGGTGGGTCATTTTGAAGCTTTGGAATTTGCTGGCACTATCCATTAGAAGTTCGAATCTAAATGGTGCGCTTTAAGACCGTAATCTCCGGGCAGCGATGTTGTTCATCGCCAACCATCCCTCCGTCTCCACCGAGTGCAAGCAGTACTCCCAGGCGGTCGCTTGCTACCATATGTATAAGGTGATTTTTGTGAGCGTTTAAATGGTTTCGATCTCTCTCTCTCTATCTCTCTCTCTCTCTTTCTCATCCATCCCCTGCAGGTCTGCGACGATGCCGGAAGCAGCACCGCAAATGTCCAGAGGATATGCCGCAGCGACTGTGACCGGATACAAAATGACGTCTGCCCAAACGAATATGCCATGGCGGCACAGCATGAGCTTGTCGGTGACGGCCCGAAGGCCCTGCTCCCCTCCTGTGTGGCGATCCCGCACCATGCCCCGAATTGCATCCAGGTCATCGACACCCCCAAGCAGGTTGGTGCTTCAATGGGTCTTTACAAGTGAGTCTCGGCTAGCTGTCGCAGTCCCTTTAAAACAGTTAAACGTGGGATTTAAGTCAGTTACTGAACTATAGCGTCGAACTTTGCAGACCTCCTTCAGCCCTGACGCAGCCGCCCGGCCACCCCATTGGTGCTACAATGATAATGGGAAAACGTAAGTATAAAATATTTAAGGATAGGCTTAGGTTTAGGCTTAGGCTTCGACCAATTTTATTCATGTATTTTTCTTTTAGCTACGAGGGCACAGTTAGCTCTACGGAAGACGGTCACCAATGCATGCCATGGTCGGAGGCTCCATCCAATCGAGAGTTCAACACTCGGGCTTTTCCGGAGCTGCGGACCGCCCGGAACCATTGCCGGAACCCTGGCGGGAAGCGGACTCGCCCCTGGTGCTTCAGCCGACCCAAGGGGCTTGAAGCGTACTGTGACGTACCGCAATGCCCACAGGATCCGAGGATTGGGCTCGAAGGGCCGAGATCGAATGGGGTAGGTGCGGGTAGGAGGAGGAGCAGAGCTCTTCGAGAAATTGGATGGTATCAAATTGGCAGAGACTCGTAAAGAAACTGAGTTTATCATGACATGAAGGGCAAGCTAGCAGAGTTTCCTCATTCCAGACCTCCCCCTCGAACCTCTCCGAATTGTGGTGGTCCCTGCCCGCCAATCTGCAGCTTGGCCTCCTCGTCGGCGGTGTCGCCACGCTCGCCCTGCTGTTGCTGATCCTCTGCTGTGCGTGTTGCTGCAGAGTAAGTCACATCCAACGTACCAGTAGAGCTTCATCCAAACTTCAGAACAAGAAAAAGACGTCCACAAAACAGCGCGGCGCGCAGCAGCCCATGCCCCATTTCTCGGTGACCAGTGCCCCGACTTCTGTGGTGGCTAGGTGAGTCTAAAACTACGTTTCGCAACTATCGATAGTGACCCGTTCAGCGCGACCAACTCGGCGTACTGCAGAAAACTGCAGCTGAACGGGACGTCGACGCCGATTCTTGGAGGGAGACCTGCACCTATGGAAATGGCCGCGTTACTGCCACATCAGCATAATAATAATCATGGTAAGGGGGAGAGTGAGAGTGAGAGAGACACAGAGGGTGAGAGCGAGAGAGAGCGCTAGAACGATAGAGAGAGAGCGAAAGAGCGAGAGAGAGAGAGCGCGCGAGAAAGAGGAGACAGAGAGCAAAGTAAAAAACTAAATTATCGCATTTTCCAGGCACCGGCCCTCCATCTTATGCCGATTCCTACCGTACCGTATCCCACCAAGATTACCACATGCTAGAAATCCCGGCAAGAGATGTAAGTAAAATTTTAAAGGGACTAGGAAGCAATATACTGCATTTTTTGAATATATTTTTCCTTTCCAGCTTTCCCTCGGCGACCAAATCGGCACCGGCCACTTCGGGGTTATCCACGCGGCCCAGTGGCGTACCACCGTAGCCCACGAACCGCTTACCGTCGCCGTGAAGATGGCCAGAGCGGAAGCCAGCATTCAGGAGACGAAGCAGCTTGAGGAAGAGGTTTGTTTGGTGCTTCGGGAATCATCTAATTTTTTCCAGATTCACCGCATTGCCTATTTCGATCACCCGCACGTCGTCCGGCTTCTCGGAATTACGCGTTTTGAGGGCAATAGATTGGCTGCGGTTTATGAGTATCAGGTAAGAGAGGGAGAGAGAAAGGGTGAGAGAGAGAGAGAGGTAGAGCGAGATATAGAGAGGGATAGAGGAGGAGAGGGAGAGAGAGGTAGAGCGAGAGAGAGAGGGAGGGAGAGAGAGAGGGAGAGAAAGAGAGCGAGAGCAACAAAACTTCCAAAGGCAAAATTCACATTTTTCCAGATCTACGGCAACGTGCACGACCTGATCTCCATCAAATCAAGCGGAACGGAAGCGGAAAAACGTGCCGATCAAGATGAATTCATCAGAGTGGCCACCCAAATTGCTCAGGGAATGGAGTATCTCGCTTCGTTCCACCAGCCGCATCGAGACCTGGCTGCCAGGAATTGCCTTGTTGGTGATGGGCGTGTGATCAAGGTGATGACGTTCGGAATGCACAGGACTGCCTATGATGCCGATTACTATCATGTAAGTTTCGATTTTTACGCAGTATCAATTACCGTAGCCTTTTTAACATATTTCAGAGGTGAAACCCTCAAAAATTACATTTTGCTCCTATAGATGATCCACCGCGGCCGAATGCCAATTCGTTGGATGTCGCGTGAAGCCCTGGAAGGCCAACGATACGGCGAGCCCTCGGATGTCTGGGCTTTTGGTGTGACGTTGTGGGAGATGTTCAGGTTGGTGGAGCCTTCCAGGGTGTACCTTACGTCCTAAGACGCTTGGTGTAGGCTATCGTATAATCATGTAGTTTGTAGTTTTCGTAACGCAGCGTATCGTTGCGTAAGGCGAACTTACTTTGCTTTCTGCGTAACGATACGTACCTACGCGTAGCTCTGCGAATTCCTATGTAGCCTCGCGTACCTCAATGTAACTCGCAAAAAACCATCCCTTATTGTGTCTTTCAGCTACGGCCGTATCCCCTACGAGGGTCTATCCGATCAGCAAGTGATTGGCGCCATCTCGACCCGACAACTCCTCGAATGCCCGCCCCTCTGCCCTCCCAACATTTACAGGTATGTTGGTTAGTTTTCCTTCGGAAAGTTCGATTCCGACGGGATGGATTTTAACTTCTCGAGCCCTTTGAAACGTCCAGAAACCTAGAATAAGCCTGTTTTCAGTCTGATGGTCGAGTGCTGGACGGAGAACCCGGAGCGACGACCAACTTTCGCTGAAATTCGCCCTCGGCTGGAGGGTTGGACGATGAACAGCCCGGCACATTCTCTTCTGCAGCATAGAGCTCCGTCGACGAGCACCCATTCTGGTAAGTTGCTTGCATAGAGGCTTAGGATTGGGCTTGGGCTTGGGCTTTGGCTTAGACTTAAACTTGGGCGTCGGCCTACCCTTACGCTCTGCTTAGGCTTGACTTAGGCCTAGGCCTAGGCTTAAGCTGTTTAACAAAACGTATTTCTGTCATTTTCAGGTTCTTCCGGCGCTCGTGGAATCGGGCAAAACCGTGCCCTCGCCCCGTTCCAACAGCCGACGACACGCGGGAGACGTGCTGGCGAGGAGGGATCCCCGCTCGTGCGCCGTGACGCTGCCTACCACTATTCTGATGACGACGACGCGTCGCAGGAATCTGATTAAACGCTTTTTGCTGTCACTGCCCCTTTAAGGGATTTCCTTCATAGATTTCAGTTTCGTTAAGCCGCCCTAATTTCCATATTTCTGGTCAGGGTCATTTTTATGAATCTCCTATCAAAAAATTTTTAACAACTACCGTATCCCTCGCTCGATATTTTCCTATTTTGCGACCAAAAATCGTCTTCCCCTCCTCCATACAGACGGGTCCACCTCTCTTCCCTACAGTAGGTCTGCGACTGAGACTGTTCGGATTGTCTTTCGTAGTTGTGTTTCCATATTTGCCTCTCTCTCTCTCTCACTCTCTATTTATATTCTCTCGTTTTGTATCAATTCTATTTTGTGCTCGACTACAGTGTTCCTCTCTCCCCCATCACCTCTTCTGCCACAGGGTTCCTCAAAAGAAAAATGTTCTCAAATCCCATGTCTATATATCTGAATCTGATTCCTAGATATGATACCTATTCTGCCATTTGCTGTGATTTTATGTGGTCTTGATAAACGTCATCATTTAAATTTTTTTGAAATTGGCAGAAGAGAGAGAGAGAGAGAGAGAGAGAGAGAGAGATGGCGAACGTCCGAAGCCACTTAAATCAATTTATTTACACATTTTATGCCCTGATTAAGCGCACCAAAATACAAACAATCGAAAATATGCTAAAAACAGCTCTCGAAGTGTTATTGATGGTGTTGCATAGCTTATAGGCGTCGTCTACACAAGTCGTATCTGAAATTCGATGTTTCAGCGCTGTTGCGTTTGCCTTAGAGAGAGTGCGAGAGAGAGAGAGAGAGAGAGAGAGAGAGAGAGAGAGAAAGAGAGAGAGAGAAGGACGGAGGGAGAGAGCAAGAGAGCGAGTGAGTGAAAATTCTTGTTAGAAAAATTTTAAAACTGTATCTAAGAATAAAATACAAAAGAGATAAAAATTAGAATAATTGACACGATGACTCACTGATAAATCCCTGTTTGTACATAAATGTCCTGTCAACAGGGCAGTAGCCGCCAATGTCATCACAAACAGATCGTAATACCCCCCAACGGCACGACATCGTTCGGTTGATCGCGCTGGAAAAAAGTTTCTTTAAGTTTTTGGCTCGGTTTTTCTCATTATGCAAATTACTCAGTACTGTAGTTTAACGTATCATTTAGACAATCTCAATATAAACAAAATTGAAGATGAACTAGCAAACAAATTTCTCGATTTTCGAAAATTTCTCAAAACCCACTAGCACTCATCGCCATATCGATAATCGCCGCAATTCGAATATTCGGTCCTCGTCTGCTCGCGCATTCCCGTTACGGCCGTCCGACAATTCACATACCTTTGATCTTCAAAAAACCGATAGAATTTTAGCATCAGAATTCTTACAGTTCTTCGTATCGTTGCACCGATAGTTCATGTTGATGAACAAGCGCAGATAGCTCTCCGCCTCCACCGAGGTGTCGCTGGGCACGTACTGGAATTTGGCCTTCAAAGGTCGCTAAGCCTACTGGCTTACTCTAGCGATTGTCGGCAGATCGAAGCAGCGCGTCTTCGTGCTGCCGAGGCAGTCGTTCAGCTTATCGACTTGGCTGAAATTCGGTAAGCTTGGGATTAGGCTTAGGCTTAGAACTAAGCTTAGGCGTAGGCTTAACACTCACTCGCATGCCACATTCGTCTCGCTGATTTTGAGGGCTGAGAAAGGCGGAAATTTCGTGGCCTTGACGGGCACTGTTCGATTGAGGTAGATGAGATTTTGGAAACAGTTGAAGGCCGTCTAAATATCGATAAACCAGGGAATACATCAGAAACTCACCACATAATCTATCGTCTCGCAAACCGAGGGCGCCAACGCCTTGTCGGCATAAAAGTTTTCTTGGGGTGAAGCTGAACGTTTCAAAATTTTCATAAACATTTGGAAACTGTCAAATGGTTGTGGTATGGAAAAATAGGGTTCTTTCGCATTATCGGGGAACCAACTTTTTTTCTTAGATTCTCTTTTTTTAAACAGAAATAGTGGAAGTGTTTCTAAATGGTTTTTTACTCTTACCAAACTTGAAAACTTTTGAAATTTGTACGAAAAAATACGAAAAATATCGATTTTTTTTGACCGAAAATCGCCGATTTTTTGCCAAAATTCTTGTTCCAAAATTCAAAATTTGTTAAAGTTTTTAGTTATTTTTCTAGTTGAAATCTCGTTATATATTAATAAACACATTATTAAAACACTGTCCATGAACTTACTAGACAGTTCTCGACTCATACAAAAAAGCCAACCCCCCCCGATAATGCGCAAGTGCCAAAAATAATCATATGAACGTTTTTAGCGCTTAAAGACGCCGCGACATACCTAACAAAACCAAAATGCCCGCGAAAAACATGAATCGAAGAAGCATTCCGGCTGCCGAGGAGGGCCCGACCCTGAGAAAGTGTGCACCGACCCCGAAACGGAGGGACCCCCGACAAAGGAGGCTGATAACGGCATCAAAAAGGAGAAGAAGAAGAAGAAAGACGGTTTTCCCTCTAGGCGTCAACGTATGGTTCCAATCGCATAATAAGAATTAGATACGACGCTGGGATTACACGGTTTTTGACCAAAAATTGTGGGTTTTTGGGGATTCCTTGGACTAAAGTGGCACTGTATATCATAAAATGTTTGTGTTATTAAATCTGTTTTTTGGAAAAACTATAGTGTAGTTCACTCTTTACTTGAGGAAAAATAGAAACAAATCGCAAGAGCCAAGACCAGCAATATCGAGGGCCGCTTGGAGGAGCACGGTCGCTCTTCACACGTCTCGTACCCGAACATTCGCATCTGAAACAGTTGGCTTGGGATTAAGCTTAGGCTTTTAGGCATAGACTTCCGCTCAGGCCAGGCCGCCGAGGATCAGGCCAGGCTCAGGCCAGGCCGCCGAGGCCTAGGCTTAGGCTTAGGCTTAGGCTTAGGCTTAGGCTTAGGCTTAGGCTTAGGCTTAGGCTTAGGCTTAGGCTTAGGCTTAGGCTTAGGCTTAGGCTTAGGCTTAGGCTTAGGCTTAGGCTTAGGCTTAGGCTTAGGCTTAGGCTTAGGCTTACTAGGGAATGGTCTCCGCTCGGCCTCGAATTTCGGGTTGAAAGTTAGCTCATCTTGTAGAGCTCGAAGAGACGAATCGATTGATGTAACTTTTAGCTGCGGATACTGTAATACAACAAAGTTACAGCCCTTGAAAGTTCTTACCCGACCTTCATAAGCCCTCCCCACGCGGCCTCCAGCGTGGTCTGGTGGCCTAGTGGTATAGTAGTTGGCGTCTGGGGAATCCATCGAGGGTTCGGACCCGCTCACGATTTTTATTTTTTTGCTTTTTCGTCCGAAGCCTCCTTTTTGCATTCTGAAGGCCGTGAAGAACTTTTTATTCATCATTTTGCACTAGGAAGTGCCCCCAACAAAAATGTCACCCCTAAAAATTTGACGATTAGCCAGCTTGCCATTCCAAAACTAAAAAATAAAATCAAAGATTTTTCATGGAACCTGCGTTACGATAACGAGTTGTGTTTGTGAACCAGCTGATTGTGAACCTGTTGCAATTTGTCTAAATTTTCGGAGGCTGGAGCGCTAGCCACTGGGGGTCAAAAAATAATTTTTTTTCCGAAGCAGCATTTTTGGCCGGAGCGCTTCCTAGAGCAAAAATGATGAATAAAAACTTCTTCACGGCCTTCAGAACGCAAAAAGGAGGCTTCGGACGAAAAAGCAAAAAAATAAAAATCGTGAGCGGGTCCGAAACCTCGATAGATTCCCCAGACGCCGACTACTACACCACTAGGCCACCGGACCACGGGGGAGGGCACATGAGGAGGGATTATGAAGGTCAGGTAAAAACTTTAAAGGGCTGTAACTTTGTTGTATTACAGTATCCGCAGCTAAAAGTTACATCAATCGATTCGTCTCTTCGAGCTCTACAAGATGCGCTAACTTTCAACCCGAAATTCGAGGCCGAGCGGAGACCATTCCCTAGTTAGGCTTAGGCTTAGGCTTAGGCTTAGGCTTAGGCTTAGGTTTAGGCTTAGGCTTAGGCTTAGGCTTAGGCTTAGGCTTAGGCTTAGGCTTAGGCTTAGGCTTAGGCTTAGGCTTAGGCTTAGGCTTAGGCTTAGGCTTAGGCTTAGGCTTAGGCTTAGGCTTAGGCTTAGGCTTAGGCTTAGGCTTAGGCTTAGGCTTAGGCTTAGGCTTAGGCTTAGGCTTAGGCTTAGGCCTAGGCCTAGGCCTAGGCTTCGGCGGCAAACTTGGCAAAAACTACCCGGATTTCGCCGCCTATCGGTTCTTCTAGTGCCCCAGGTGGGTGGCGAGTGGGGGCCCGGCCCAAAGCAAAATTACCCGTATATTGTTGTAGGCGCAGAAGGCTGTTTTAATCTTTTGGCCGCAGTCACGTTGGAAAAGGACGAGCTGGCACCTTGCCACTGTTACCATGTCACTTAATTAACTTGTATGTTTTTATCGCCTAAAAACCCACCGGCACGCCGGGTTATGCAAATCATCATCACAATGGTCAAGCACAGCCTTGTGCAGTTCGTCGTCCTCGATCGAGTCGTAGCATTGGAAATATTCGATAACTAGAGTGTCCACATTTTTGAGCATTTAAAATTAAACCCACATCTCCGCGAGTTGCTACAGTACAGCTCGAACAGCGCCAGCTCTTCCGCGTACGCCTTCGCGTCGTCTGAAGCCATTTCTAACGTACTAATCACTAATCACTCTTACCCATGGTATTCGTTAGTTTCGACAGCGTTTCCAGCGTCAAACAATCCTCGTATCGGCTTCCCAGACATGATTGCAGGGAAGAAAAGGTTCTGAAAACGTAGACATAGCTTGTAATGAATCGTACTTGCACAAATTCGCGGCATCGATTTGTATCCGGTCAAAAAGTGGGTAGAAGTTCCGGGGGAGTTTCCCCTGATCGTCCAGCTGATAGTTGTAATTCTCGATGAATGTTGTCATGCATCCTTTAGTTCTCTAAAATATTGATTTTATGGTTTTAACAAAATTTCGAGCATTTGTCTTATTTTAAAAAAGTTTAATAAGATTTTCATCCTAAAACAAAATACGATTTTTACTTAAAACGGCAAAAAGCTATATTTTTCAGTAAATCTCCATTTTTTAAAACGTTTTTTTTTCGGGTGTTTCCATGGTTTGGAAAATTCAAAGATGGCTATTGAAGAATTTTAATAAGATAGTTCTGAGCATAATAAACATTTCTGGATTCATAGGGAAAATTCTGCCCCCCCCCCCCCGATAATGCATAAGCTCACCTCAAATTCCTCATTCGAGCAGCTCTTATTACTCGGGCCGGGCAGCACAAAGATATTTGGTTGTAGGTGGCTCGTCGAATTTTGAGTAAATGCCAATGAGCCCAGCACGGCTACACTATACTATAGACAGCTATAAAATGTGGCTTACCAAGCGAGGGAAGCATTTTCCGGGTTAGATACGAACAATAAAAAATAAATATAATATTTAGCTACCCGCCAATAGTGTCGACTCGTACTTGGGACCTGTCCGATTTCGAGTTATGCCCGTCCAAAAAGGCACGGCGGCCATTTTGTGTAGGGCAGGCCGGGCATAAAAATGTAATAAATTGACACTAGGAAAAGAGACCGCCACAGATAAAGGTAGCGCGTAATGGCCGTGCCTTCGTGTCGAATTGCGTTCATTTTGGGTTCGTCAATCGCAAAAAATGCGAAAAATGGGATGTTTGATGAGAGGGAGGCGGTACGGGTGTATTTTTAGGCTTCAGAAGTCTCTAAACGATAAATTCTATGAAATGAAGGGTTTTTCAGGTTTATGAATATATTGCAAAACTAGAAATGAAACTTTGTTTACGAAAATCCGCTTTCTAACCGCCTTTTTTAATAAGGGCAGTTCGTGGCGTAGTTTTAAGGCATCAATTTGTTTCATTCGACTTGATTTTTATGTTTTTGAATGTTTTACAAAATTAAAAATGAAACTTTATTTACGAAGATCCGCTTTCTAACCCACATTTTTCCGGAGTGATGCGCCTGGGGCCGATTTTGAGGCTTTTCAGAGATTTTAAAGCAGGAATTTGAAAGAATTTACGTAGATTTTATGTTTTAGAAAACTAGCAATGTGTGATGTTATTTTATTTCACAAAAACAAATTTTCTACCCCTTTATCCCTCTAAAAATCAAAAATGCTGAGCCGTTTCTGGACGGCCGAGTTGCGCCGCCCGCGCAGGTTCAGTCGGATGTGGTCCTCACTGGAGAAGGAGTTACGGTGTTGGGTGCTGGATTAAATGGCGTAATCGGCTAAGTAAGTCCAACCTTGGGACGCCGAGCGTGATCACCGATTCTTGATGGCTAGCCCTCCTTCGTTCGAGTGGGGCGGCGAGCGATACTCTTCTCACGTCCATCGGTGCGGCCATCGAGATCGACCTGGAATTGCGTATTAAATGAATCCAACGATTATATGAAAAACCAGTGGAAAAAGACCGCTTCGCGGCCCTTTTCCACTGGACCCCGTCTAGGAATCATGAATTCCTTTTCCTTTTCTCGAAGCCTGCGGCGCAAGAGCCTGACTCAAGGAACCATTCTTTGGCCTGCGGCGCCAGAGCCAGCGCTGGGCCAGAATCTTTGAGCCTGCGGCGCTAGCTACTGGTTTTTCTCCAGGCTTTGGCCTGCGGCGCGAGAGCCTGGGTCAGGAACCATCGTTGGCCTGCGGCGCCAGAGCCTGGGCCAAGTACCTTTTCTTTGGCCTCCGGCGCTAGAGCCAGGGCCCGGTCCTAAAACTCGCACACCGAGAGCAGACATATGTTTTGTTGTTTAATACCAAAAAGCAAAAAGTTAAATTCCCTGCGGATTCGAACCCTGATCACGCGTTTGTTAGACCGGGCGCCAATCCAATACACCAAGGGGACGCGGCAATTGATAGCGGGAAAGGCCTCTTGTGTCCTGGGGGCGCGACTTATCCTGGGCGAGAGGACTTCTGATAACTTTACAAAATTCTCTTTTTGATTCTGAATGCGCCGAAAATTTGTAAAAATAATCAGATGCGCGTGATCCCCACTATCGAATACATAAGTAGACCAAATTACAGCCCAAAATTCCATCTGGGATTCCAGTTATGGCCCGGACACCACGGGACTGTGGCCATTTTATTAAGGACCTTCTAGTAAATTGCTCATAAAAACTTTATTTTAAGGAATTTGGCAAAATCCAAAAAATAGTATCGGGAGAATTGCTTTTACCACTCACCCTCCAAAAATCAGAGCCCAGCTCCTCATGGCGGCCGAGCAAACCTCCGGACATACCTTTTTTTGGGCAAAATGTTAAGGATTTTTCACTATTTTGCTTGTAAAATCGTTAAATGAAGGAATTTCGCCAAACAAAAAATGCGTCACTGGCAAAGGTGTTTCTCTACTTGCATGCCAAAAATCAGCCCGAAATTCGGCCTGGCGGCCGAGAAATCGGCTGAACAGAAAACAGACATACTTTTCTCGCTTATAGGATAGGATCTATATTTTTGTATTTTTTGGAAATGTTTGTAAAGCTTTGACTTTTAGGAATAGTAAAAAACTGTTTAGAATCAATTCCGTTATTTTTATTTGAAAAATTAGATCCTAAGAAAAAAGTTGCCCCCAGATAATGCAAAAGATCCTATTATGGATCCACGCATTATATTACGACCTCCTGTGGGGGCCGCCGGTCTGCATTGGGTTGAGCGTCAATTGAGAGAGTGGCACGATGGAGATCCTTCTCGAAGGACGACGTTCAGTTGGCACCATCAAATCAGGAGATTGAGGCGTCGAGAAGGGCTAAAACTAGTAGTTCAAAGGCTTAAACTTTGTCATACCTCGTTCGGCTCGTCCTCGACGACAATAAGTTGTTGCTCGTCGAGCAGCTCGTTTTCCTCGAGTAGCATCGCCTAAAATCGATAATTTGAATTTTGGAAAGCCATGTACCTCGGCAAACTGCTTCTGTCGATCACTGTTAATCGTGCCCCAGACCGATTTGAAGAGGTAGATGAAGATTTCAAGGAGCGTCACCGTCGACATTCCGAGGAAAAGGCCCATCGAGCCGGCAATGTTACCTTCAAACAAAAAACGTAAAAAACCATATTTTTGGCAAATTTTCGGTCTGAACATATAATAAACGTATGGCTAACGGTAAAGCTTTTGAACCCACTCAACAAGTCGGCCGTCTGGAGCTGCTTCTGCTGCTCGTGGCGCTCGTAGGAAATCTCGCGCATGTAGACGTTCACGAGAATCAGGGGATCGCTGGAATGTAAAAATGGCTGAAAAAGTCCTTAAAATTCTGAGGACTTTTCTGCATTTTCATCAGGCTTACGTTTCCTTATGTGAACTATGATCCCGATCCCCACGCCCAAGATTGCCATACGACGTTTTCAGCTCGTACTCCATCTGCTCGCATTTCACGTCGCAAGCGCAGGTGGCAGAATCTGGAAGTTCAAGAATTAAAAACGGTCAATTAAAGATAAATTTAAATTTAAAAAGATAATTTTAAAAAATTTAAAAGTGAAATTAAAAATACTTTCTAACTTCAAAAGTCAAAACGGTGAATCGTTCGAAATGAACCCACTGTTAATCGACTCTTTGCACGCCCCGGCGAGCTCAAGCGGCGTGCAAATGGCATACTAAAAATGTGCTTCAATAGTTGTCAACCTCTTAATTTTTAACGACATTTCCATGACCATTTGACGTTTTTTCGCCTTTTGAAGCGCCCCACCTGATCAGCCAGCGTATAAGCCAGCGGGACGCATCCGCACGCTTCAATGTAGCGCTTCATCAGACAGTTGGCCTCGCAGTGGCGTGACGAGTACTAAATGAATCATAATGACGAATCCTGATTCGGATACATGATAAAATTATGAATACATAACGCTGAAATAACCTCAAAAGGGACGATGAGATCTCCATGCAGTGCCGGGTCCCAGCCCGGCTGGCAGAGGCCCCAATCGTGACGCGCGAGCAGGGTTATCTGAATTTGCGTTGAGCTGTACTTTCATTTTCTATCGATTTTTGTAGATCTTAGCTGGCTTACGTTCTTCACATCCATTCCGGCATAAAGCGCCGTCTCCGGAGGTACTGAGATCGACTGCGCGCGCATTGATGGGAACTCTAAATCATCATTTTTCCACTCCAAATGCGGTAAAACCATTATTCTCGTGAACCGCCACGCGTACGCCCTCGTCGGCAAAGACGTCTGGTAGGAGATTATCATCTGAAAGCCATTTTTAGTTTAGAAAAAGTTGCTTAGTTTTTCGTACCTTCAAAGCTCACCCCAGCGCGCAGCAAAATCTGCCACCCGTGCGCCCAGCCGGAAAACCATTGTCGACGATTGGTATTGGTGAATCTAAAGAAAAAATTCTGTTTGGAACCTGAAAACTAAAGCTCTAAGCCTAATCCTAACCTATGCCTAAGCCTAAGCGTAGCCGTACCTGATACAAAGCCCCGAATCCGTGAGAATTTTCTGCGTGGCGTTGCAGCAATCTTGCAGCGGCACCCCGCCAAAAGCACACCATTCAACCAAAGACTCGCAGTCATTACTAAACTATTATTCGATGTCATTTTGCGAAAACAAACCCAGCAAGCCGGAAAAACTCCAAAAACGAAAAGGGCTTCTGGTTCGCTTTCTCGTAGTGTTTTGTGTAGTTCTAAAAATTACTTTTTGACGTTTGTATGCTTGTAACGAACGATAAATTCTCGATGTTCTTTTTCGAGCCCGGGCACATCGTCGTCCAACGCTTCCAGGTAGGCTTTCAGGACGTACTTTAACACCGAGTCCGACATGTTCCAAGCTAAGATACGCGTTTTTGGATGCAAAAACCACAATTATGATAAAAATAACGCTGAATTATCCTTTACCTGCCACCTTCCTCGGGTCGACCGGGCTGGTGTTGCAGATGGTCACATCCGGAAACGGAATCCCCTCCTCGGGCACGATGACGTTCACTTGGAATAGTGTCGGCTTCGAGTGATAATTCAGCAGCAAGAAGCCGCTCTAAAAACCTGATATCAAAAGTCATAAGAAACACTTACGTGCACCATAAACAGGAAAAGGCACGACAGCACCACGACGCACCAAAAAATTCGCGAGGGCCATGTGTTGGAATTATAGATGCGGACCTTAAATTACAACGCTTAAATTGATACAAATTACAAAATAGAAGTTGTTGTATTTAATAGCGAAACTTGATAGCCAAAAACCCACCAAACCGTGGTAAGTTGTTAGCCCGGAAAACTCCTTCGTTTCATAGTCGCAAATCTGGAGGTAGATCCGCTTTTTCTTCGAATCCTCCCAGTTTTTCCCTCTTTCGGAATGTAAAATTGTACAAAGGCTCGCCTCACCTTTCCTCCTCGAAGCTCATCGAAAAGTTTGTAGTTTATTAACACACGAAAGGCATATTTTAAGTTTAAAATATATTCAATACGATATAAGCCTCGAAGGGCAAGCTTGCAGCGCTTATTTAGAGATCTGCGCTTCCGGTTTTTGTCGAAGATTTCTAAAGCTGGTCTAATTCGCGAAATCCGTGTCTGTTTCCGCCCCGTGCCCCGCCCAATCGATCCCATGCCCAGGCGATAAGGCCCTGAATTTGCACGCTTTATCACCATGTAAAATCGTTTGTATCACAATGCAAATGCCAGTATAAATAAGTGTAAGGAAACGGGCGTTAAAATCCTCAAAAGTAGTGGAGGCCGCCCTTGCGCAACGCAAAGTCGGCGAGTAGCGGGATGTGGTCGGACGGGACCGACGTGTTCGGCCAACAGCCAAGGGTCCTAAAAGTATAATTTTTGCCTTACGATAAAAATTACCTCCGTAGCATGGCTTCAGTAGGCAATGTAAGTCGTGTAATTAACCGCACGTCATCCAACGGGTCGATTAACACTCCCTGAAAAAGCAATGAAGCTATTTCTTCAATTGTAACAAGCTTCTTTGCGAAGCTGTGCGCCGAAAGGCATCATTAATGCGCCTACAACTGACCGTACCCTGTGGTTTACCACTACTTATTAGGCCCGAGAACCCCCTCCTTGCCATGACTGGATCTCGATAAAAAATTCCCGTGGCGAATAGCGCCATGAAAAAAATTGCGCTTACAAATGTGATTTGAAGCGGCGTTAAGATAAAATACAAGCGTTATGTTACCAGCCTCGGTAAAAAAATGTCGATTACAGCAATTTCTAGTCACTTTAAGCTGAAGAAATCTAGCCTTCTCGGTCCCTTTAAAGAGATAGTTTACGGCGTGCATAGTACAATTCAAATAAAATTGCTACCTTTTCCGTTCTGCGATAGCCCTTGATCGAAAAGAAGATGAAATCCGGGTTTGCGACACCCGAGTGGAACGTCGATACCTCGGCGTTGGGCAGAGAGCCGGAATGAGCGTGGCAGTACACCGAGGCCAGACCATCTAATAGGTGCGTAAATACGTCGTCGCACGGACTTGGGGCCGGCACTAGAGAAAAATATATGTGAAAATGACGGCATTTTCCTACTTGGCTTCGTCGAGTAGAACATCGAGTTGCGCGCTAGCTTTAGGAATTCTGGGATTAGCGGATAACCGACAGCGACCGGATTCGAGGAAGTGGTCTAAAAAAGTAAATTTTGGGTCGAAAAACGGCTCAACCTGTCCGGACAATGTGTGTCTGGGCGAGTCACCGAGTGCAAGTCTGAAAAAGGAGATTTGGGAGCTTTCGGAATCTCGGTGAAGTTCCGGCATGCCTAGCAATTTTACACAAACGTTTTACCAAGCTTTCTAATAAAATTATATACCTTTGAAGCCGAAAACGCTTCAGAAAACTTACAAAAACGTTCAGGAAGGTCAAGTTTTGGTAAAAATCAATGATTTTTATTCTAAATGCGATTTCTTTTGCATTTTTTGTAACCTTTGTAAAGTCTTTACGTAAAAATTAATCTATTTGTGCCTGACAAAAATTTGAACTTTAAGGAAAAAAGAATTGTTTCCGCCTTCGCTAAAATAAAGATTACCTGGCCTGTGTGATAAACCGATACAACGGAGAAAACGGCTGCATGTTCATGTCACCCATGATGAAAAGCGGCGTTGGCTCCCAGGACAGCTTCTTGATCTAGAAACACGTAAATTCCATCCTTCCCTAGAAAAAACTTTATTGATCGTCGCAAACAGCATCATCAGTTGCAGCAGCTTGATGTCACCCCGCTTTTCGTTGAACAGCAGGTGGGTGTTGGCGAAACAGAGGCGATGCCGCGTCTTCAGATCGCGAACCACGCATACTTGACCTGAGAAGAATACGGTTTTTTGGAGGCTTACTTACCAACTTGGTGCTTATCCAAAATCGCACGCGAGCTCACGAAATATTCCACTTCTTCGTAGTGCTCCACCCTAAAGCGGTCCTGCAAAAACATACAGCAAGTTGTGATTTCCTAACCTGTTTGAAAGCCAACAAACAACCATCGGGAAATTCGTCGGCTGTCCGTTTCTTGAAGTAAGTCAAATAACCTTAAAGTAATGGTTCTTTTAAAAGCAAATTTAACCTTTGGCTTTAAAATAATCCTCATATTGTTGCAGGTGATTCGAGTCAACCTGAAAATGAAAATTTAGAAATTGTTAGCCGGAAAACCTCTTGCAGTCCATAGACATCGGCGCCTAACATCTCGAATTCTTGCGCAAGCAGAGGCCACCGAGATTCCCAGCTAATTGCCCTCGGGTCACTAAAAACGAATAAAAAAAAGCCCATCAGATTCACCTTTTCAAGTGCCTATACAAGTACATCGTTCTGGCGGCCGTCGACTGGCAGAGGACGTTGTAGGAACAAACTCGTAACCGCTCAAACTCTTTGTCGGAAGGCGGCGGCTAAAAAAGGGTTCAAAATTCCGTTGAAATGACCGACCCCGACAAATTCAAACTGTCGCATCTCTTCGCCAAATTTGGCCCTTGTCGAGACAGTCAATTGATCGACACTAGCCATCACGCCGTGCCGGGTCGGAGGATAAGCGACGGCATATTCTAGAGGGCCGCTCTACAAAAAACACATTGTTAAAATTCAGAAAAATACCTCTGTAAGTTCCGCATTGAGACACGGCACCTCGTCTACTGAAATTAAAAGTTTTTGCGCCAAAGACGCCCTTGCCTGAAACGTCGGTTAATGCCACATTTGCTTTGCGGTTGCTCACAGACCGCACCGCTTTCCGCTTCTTTTTCTAAATGAATGGCGAGGCGTAGAGGTTTTTACCGTAATCCTGTCGTGCGTAAAGTGGTGGTGCGCCCCGGCTTGTCTTTTTTTGGGAAATGTGTGTCTGCTCTGTAAATCTCTGATCTGCAACAAAATAAAACGTGCTCACCTCCAATTTATGACCACTTTCGACGGGCGATGTTTTGCAGGGAGTAACTAAACAAGGAGTTTTAAAACCAAGCGCCAAGATTACTATCACAATGCCCGTTTGGCCATACGATGCCTGACAAGTCCGGTAAGGAGGCGGATCTTGCATTGCTCGTAGAGGCAACCTCAGGGACCAGCGGAAAAGTTGTCCTGGAAATATCAGATTAGAAGAAGATTATGGTATACCTAATCGTTTGCCGATGGGCCGTGACTTTCTCAAAAACAATCTCGGGTTCCTCAGTTTCTCCGGAAGTGCTGGCGACAACTTCTGCGGTCAGATCAACGACATCGACTTCCTTCACGACGCCGACGTCTCGTTTACCTAAAAAATATTGATGAAAAATAATGAAACACTTACTGATGAAATCGATAATGTTAAAGTTGTCCATCCGTCCATGCGGCAGCGAAAATCTGAAATGAGGTAGGATCATTTGAAATTTCGAAAAATACCGAAACTGTACACGCTATGAAAAGAGAGCGAGAGGAATAGAGATAAAAAGAAGTGCGGAAAGGGGAGTGAACTTTGACTATTGATAAGCAAGTATCATCCATCATTACAGCCCTGTAATAACAGTACAAGATGGGCGGGCAGCGCGCCAGTTCGCAAACAACTAATCGAATCTCTGTTCGCTTTCAAAAACAATTCCACGAGCGTGGAGCTGTTTTTTACTTAAAATAAAAATTAGTTGTTAATTAATTATATATTGAAACTATTTAGCTAATGGCGACCAAGAAATTCATCAACGAGCCGGACGACGTCGTTGACCATGCCTTGCACGGGCTTGTCAAAACCAACGAAAAATTGCGCTATCATCCGGTAGGTTTTATCAATTAATCAAAGGAAAGGAGGATAAAAAGCTTAAACTAAATAAAAACTGTTAAAAATTTGTAAAACTTGCTAAGCACAATTTTAAAAGGAATGAGTCAGACGCTTGAAGAACGATCAACAATCAACTACAAGAAGAACGAATATATCAAGAAGAACTATACTATATATCAAGAAGAACGATCAACAATCAACTAACTAAAATCGTTTAAAATTAATAAAATTTAGTCGTGTTCCCGAGTTATCCTGCGCACCGATTACAAAGACTACCTCGAGGGCGGAAAAGTGGCGCTGCTCGCAGGAGGCGGCTCCGGTCACGAACCGTTTCCGGCAGGTAAAGAAATAAGAGGCCCCGGTCTTTGTTTGTGCCGTCCTCGGCTTGAACTGAAGTTTTCAGGTTTCATTGGTAGCGGGCTACTGACTGGGGCGATTTGCGGGAATGTTTTCGCCTCACCCCCGAGTCAACACGTGTTTGCAGCCCTCGACGAGACTAGGGGCAAAGGTTCGGCCAAACAACGCTTTTTTACGAACGAACGGTCTTTCAGCCGGGACTGTGCTTTTCATCATTAACTATACGGGCGACAGGCTGAACTTTGGGTTTGCTGTCGAAAAATATAAGCGAGCTGGCGGAAAGGTTGGTGTTTGTCGGCATTATTTGAGCCCAAAAATTGCCTAATTTGACCTATAGAGTATGATTTGACACCTTAGATTACTAAATACACTGTATAATACATAATTTAAACTAATCATTAGAATTATATAAAGTCTACTTAGGAAATTATTATAGGCGAGAGTGGTCGTGATTGCCGACGATGTGGCTTTCGATACCGGGGAGAATCGGATCGGAAGTCGAGGGCTGGCTGGATGTACCCTAGTTATGAAGGTCAGAGAATTATAAAGTTAAAGCTAGAAAATCAATTCCTTGCAGATAAAAATAAAAAGAAATGGATTCATTACTTTGAAACTTGCAGATTGCCGGAGCAATGGCGGAACAGGGAAAAAGCATGGATGAGATAGCCGATTTTGCCGAGAAAATGAACGCTGGCTGCGGTTTGTTTATTTAAACGATTATTAAAAACGATTTCGGAAATGAAATTTGTTGTGATCCTCGAAAAGAGTAGTCGAATGCTTAGGATGTAAGTAGTCTAATGTGGTCCAGCGAGCTGGCCCCACAACAAAATTAATTAAATAAACTTTAAGCTACCCTCGGAGTGAGTCTCTATCCTTGTAGTCTACCCGGGAGGCCCGCTATGTTTGAGCTGGAGGAAGGGAAAATGGAGGTTGGCAACGTTTTAAAATGCATATTCTTTTGGCCTTACAATGAAATAGGGTATTTTCAGGTAGGCCTCGGCGTTCACGGTGAACCCGGTAAAAAGCGCGAGGATGTACGTGAAGTCAGGAAACTTATCCGCCAAATCATGGACCAAATCCTACAAAGTAAAACGATCGGGGGCACGGAAAAACGGCTGGTGCTGCTCCTCAACAATCTCGGCGCTGTTTCCCAGCTCGAAATGGGCGTGCTACGAGGGGAAGTGGCGAATTACGCAGGTAAGTAGCGAGAAGATGCGTGACACAAAATGCGTTTAGAAGCAAAGAGCCTCGACATTGCACTGTTTTTCCATGGCACAATGATGACGTCGCTAGATGGGAAAGGAATTAGCCTGACGGCGCTTCGGGTTGATGATGAGGCTGTAAAGATGCTAGGTAATAGATTAACTATCACGAAAAAGGTAAATTAGAAGCGGAAACGGCTGCTGAAGGCTGGACTCGGCCTCATAAAGGCTTCGCCATCACCACTTTTGAGCAACGAGAGGTTGAAGATGATGCGGGAATGGAGGGCCTTGAGAAAAAGGGTGCAAAGCTGAATTCAGGTATGCTACCCAATGTTATAGCTGATTTTTGGGGTTCTTTTGCATTATACTTACAAAACTTTTCTCCTATTGAATTCAATTTTTCAAATATAAATAGTGTAAGCGTTTCTAAACGGCTTTTTAGTATTCGCAAACGTGAAAACTTTACAAACTAAAATATCAAAAATATAGACGACCAAAAAAGCCCGATGTTTTTGACCAGAATTTCGACTTTCCAACATTTTTCCAGTTTCTAGATAATTTTTCTAGTTTAAAAATGGTTAAATAATACTAAAACGATTATAAAAACGCTTTCTATTAACTTACGAGGCATTTCTAGACTTATACAAAAAAAAGGTTCGGTTACTAACGTTAGTACTCAAAGTTAGATGATTCCTAAAAAAATTCTGGGTTTAGATGAAAGCTGGCTTCTTCGCAATTGCGTCGAAGCCGCTTGCCAGGCAATGCTCGACAATCGGGAGAAGCTGGATGAGCTGGATGGAGCTGCGGGTGATGGAGACTGCGGTCAGACGATGGCCCAGGCTGCCAAGGGTTGGAATTAAAATTTGAAAGTGTATTATATTCTTTTTAGCGATACAAAAAGCGGCAGGAGATCTGTCTTGGGAGTATCCTTCAACGCTGTTTTCTCAGCTGGCCCTCATTTTCCAAGGGTCTATCGGCGGAACTGGAGGGGCGGTGAGTAAGAAAATACTAGCTTTTAGCGGTAAAAATCTCGATTAACAGTTCTTTCTCATTATCGGGGGGACCAACTTTTTTTCTTCGGATCTAATTTTTGCATACAACTTGTGGAGATGTTTCTAAATGGTTGTTACTATTCCTAAACGTGCAAACCTTACAGATTTTTATTACAAAAATTAAAAAAACCAGTTTTTCGAGCAAAAAAGGCCGATTTTTGTCCAAAATTCTACTTTTTTTCATCATTTTTAAAGTTTTAGATGGTTTTTTCGAGTTGAAATATAGTTATAGATTACTAAAACACTATTACAACAGTTTTTATCATTTTTCTAGGCATTTCTAGACTTATACAAAAACGTTCGGTACCCCCCCCGGATAATGCGAAAGAACCGGATTATAAGAAAAAGACGAATTCCTAGAGATAGGACCCCCAATTAACAATTCCCTAGATCTACGCGTTGCTACTCGAGTCGGCTAGCGACTCCTTCGAAACCTCAGCTCATCCAAGAGATTTTGGGCAGGGCTTGAGGAAGGGGATCGAGACGGTGATGAAATATGGGCGAGCGAAGCCCGGCGATCGAACAATGGTACCATTTTTTTTGTGCTATAACACGTTAATTAGGTCGATACGCTACACGCCGTTGCCGAAGCCATGAGTTCCGATTTTTCGGCTACTAAAGAGACGGTTTCCGAATTATGCAACGTAGGTCTGGATGATACGGCTAATAAAAAGAGGAAAAGGCAAAAAAAGTCACTTCTTTAGATTGCTAACGAAGCTGCCGAGAAAACAGCGGAAATGAAGGCGCACGCAGGCCGGGCGGCATATACCGCAGAGGATGTACAAGTGGGTAAAAAACGGAAAATTCCCAGAATTTTTTTCAATTCTTTAGACAAAACCAGACGCCGGGGCTACTGCGGCTGCTATTTGGATCGAAGCTATTGGGAAGAAATTCGAGGAAAAGAGAAAATAGACGGTATCGTGTGTAGTATCAACCGTAGTACGTTTAATAGACATTTTTTATAAACGTTTATTCACTAGATCCTATGGTAGAACTCGAATGACATGGAATGTGAGGTGATACCGATGAGCAAATGTGTACATAATAAAAAAATATGAAAGAGAGAGAGAGAGAGAGAGAGAGAGAGAGAGAGAGACAACCTTGGAGAGAAGCATATGTCAATAGGCGCTAACGTAGCATCCTAAGCCCGATGCCTGAACGTGCGTTTTAAATACGAAATGTCACACGATCGATTGGCAAATTCTCGGGCTTTGTCCGTCGTCCACCCGACGACGTCTCCTTCCGCAACGTCAGCCCGGAGCCGCCGCTTTGGCCTCGCGAGCTGCTTTGCGTAGGTGTGACTGGAGGCTCGGCCCGCGCTTCCGTACCCAACTCAACCCGTTGTTCACCCGTTGGAAGCACAATTTCGTCCTGAAAACTTTTTGTTTTTCATTTTTTGTAAGGGTTTAGAGTTCTTTCGCATTAGCGGAGGGGGGGCGGAGTCGAAAATGAATAAAAGAGTTAACATATTTTTTGATCCCTACCTCGTAGGCTATTGCAGAGGGAGTGACCGGCGTGGAAGTGCTTTCTTGGTACAATAAAGTATGAAAGCCCTCCGTTGAAATAACGCCGATACGATGCCCCGCCTCGTCCAACGACGTCAACGTTATGATGGGCGAGGAGAGGCCCAACTAAATTTACACAGTTTTTCGATATAAAAACGATATAAGGAATAATAAAACTTTCCCATAAAGAATGTATGACAATTTTTAGATATAAAAAGCTACTAAAACATTCTAGAAATTTCCGAAAATGTTGACTTTTTGTTCAAAAATCGCGTAATTTCCGAATGTTCGTAATTATTATTTGACTTTCGAGCAAATAATAACTACGAAAAGCATCATAAAAAGACGCTATTTGCTATTAATAGCTAGGTGTAGGCGGAAAACAAAAATTTTTGAATCCCACCTGCTAACAGTCCAGTACCGCAAGATCTAGGTTTTTAATGGATAGGCCAAACTTACCATGAATACTGCCGGAATCGCTTCGGCCATCTCCACGACACCTTTCGGTACTTGATAGACTAAGAATACCTAGAAGCTATGAAATATCTAGTAGCCTTTAACTTACCCCAGAATACGTGCCGATAAAGATGAGACCCTTCGAGATGAATGCGCTTGTGACGGCGTCTTTTTGTATGGTGTCTGCCAGCTCGTAGATGAGCTCGACGACGAGAGTCTCTTCTAATATTGTGCCGTGCCAGATGCACACTGGGCCCACGGTCGAGCTCAGTAACAGCAACATTTCCGGTACTGTTTCTTCGGAGATTGAGTCCGTTTGCTCGAGCTCGAAGAGTGAGACCACCGAGATTGCGCCGTTAAATCGGAACGCTCGCCTGGAATCGGCAAATTTTATAGAGCAGATCTTGATTTTCGGTTTCAAAAAAAAAAACGCTTTTTTACTACTTTTAAGTTGTTTTAAAGGCTTAAATGCAAGATAAATTGCTTCATCTCAACTTTCGGTTCTTTCGCTTTAGCGGGGGGGGGGGCGAACTTTTGTGTCTATGCCTAGTAAATTAATATACAGCGTTTTAATAGTATTTTTAGTAAATTCAAAATATATTTCAACTAGAAAAACTAGCTAAAAACTTTTTTAAGAAGTAAAAATTTGGTCCAAAATCGGCAATTTTCGGTCGAAAGACCGATATTTTTGATATTTTTAATACAAATTTGTAAAGTTTTCACGTTTAGGAATAATAAAAAACTATCTAGAAACACGTTCACTATTTTCTTTGAAAACTAAGATCATATGAAAAAAATCTGGTTTCACTCCCACGATAATGCGAAAGAAGCCGAGTTTTAAACCTTTTAGCAGAGTAAAATGTCGCTTTATTTAGCCTACCTCCCGATATACCTTCCGGTATCTTTTTCAAATACACTAATAACGAAAAGCCCAGCATCCGTCCCTTCAGCCGTCCAGATGTACTTTCCGGAAGACAAGCGCGAAAATCGCGTAATAGATCCTTAAGTTTCGTGTAAAAAATTATGTTTTTTCTTACCTTTCCGAGCCGCCTTCAAATCAGCAAAAGAATTGCTCTCTGGCAGCTCCTCGAATTCGATCGGTTTCAGGCCGGATTTGTTGACCTGGCGGCCTTTTAAAACGCCTTTCAGTTTTTTCTTACCACGTATAGCAGTGGCGCGGCGTCGGTGACAAAAACGGCATACAACGGACCGACCGGTGTCGGAATTATCGTCGTCGCGGCCCATTGGCGCTTGGCAACAACCTTGAGAGAATTAAGGGGTTCTTTCGTGTTATCGGGGGGGGGGGGGAACCACACTTTTTGCGTAAGTCTAGAAATGCCTAGTAACAATAAAAGGTGGTTTAACAGTGTTTTAGCAATAAATACCTATATTTAAACTAGAAAAACGAACTAAAAACTTTAAAAAGTAGAAATTTTGGTCGACACTTCCACTATTTATATTTGAAAAATTAGATTGTAAGAAAAAGTTGGTCCCACCCCGGGAAAACTTTCCACGTCCGATAATGCGAAAGAACCGAATTAGATGTATCTAAAAATATACAAACCTTGTTGACAAATTCCAGCGATCCGTCTGTAAACCGGAAAAGCGCGACGAATTGCCCCAAATTATTGCAGGCAGCGTCGAGTTTCGCCCAACTTGTGCATAAATAACGTTGCCCCTCGAGGAAGCACATTCGCGCATCGGTGATCTCGATCAGCCCGATTTCATCAAGCTAAAAAATTCTGTATTTTATGGGGGGTCTGCTTTTACAAACCGCAACGTTCATCGCTTCGAGCAAATCCACCGCTTTTTGCTTGCTTTTCAGCCAGTTGCAACGCGTCGCCGTGCTTTCATAGTTTATAAACCTGAAAAGAATTTAGATAAACGATTTTCTCGTTATTTTAGGTGCTTTTGCATTATCGGGGGGGGGGGGGAGCTAGCGGAGCCCACTTACTAGGGAATGGTCTCCACTCGACATCGAATTTCTTGTTGCAAGTTAGCTCATTTTGTAGATCTCGACGAGACGAATCGATTGATGTAACTTTTAGCTGCGGATACCTTATTTTAACAAAGTTACAGCCCTGTAAAGTTTTTGACCTACCTTCATAAGCCCTCCCCGCATCCCCTCCACCGTGGCCTGGTGGCCTAGTGGCGTAGTAGTCGGCCTCTGGCGAATCTAACGAGGGTTCGAATCCGCTCACGATTTTTATTTTTTGCTTTTTGGTCCAAACGTTCCTTTTTGCATTCTCAGGACCTAGACAAACTCTTTTTTGATTCTTTAACCTCCGTGAAGGTTTTAGAAGGAAAAACGACATCGGAAAAACTTTACAATTTTTTTTGCTCGAAGGAGTGGTCATGCTCCCCAAAAAAATTAATAAAATTCCGATGCAGTTTTATCGTTCTAAAACCTTCACGCAGGTTAAAGAATCAAGAAAGAGTTTGTCTAGGTCCTGAGAATGCAAAAAGGAACGTTTGGACCAAAAAGCAAAAAATAAAAATCGTGAGCGGATTCGAACCTTCGTTAGGTTCGCCAGAGGCCGACTACTACGCCACTAGGCCACCAGGCCACGGTGGAGGGGATGCGGGGAGGGCTTATGAAGGTAGGTCAAAAACTTTACAGGGCTGTAACTTTGTTAAAATAAGGTATCCGCAGCTAAAAGTTACATCAATCGATTCGTCTCGTCGAGATCTACAAAATGAGCTAACTTGCAACAAGAAATTCGATGTCGAGTGAAGACCATTCCCTAGTTAGGACTGGGAGAATTTCAATTTTACCAAAAAAGTCTCCGCAATCCGTTTGTTTTCTGTGAACAAAGGACCCCCCGACAATGCCAAAGAACCCTTAAGTTATTTACCTGAATTTTCCCGACGCGTTTATGACACCGGCTGAGAAAGAGGAATCTAAAATTGGTGCCTAAAATGCGAATTTTTGGGTCTCAAACCTGGGCCATCGAGACAAACCGCGTGAAATGTATTTGGTAGGGAGGCAAAGGAGACTTCTCGCCATTCCATCTAACAAAATAACAAATTTTGGATCAGATTTTTAGTGTACCATCATTTTTTAGCGTCCTCCTTGAGGGCCACGATCTGCAGCGCGGCTTGAGCTTCAGTGACTTGCTCGTCGGTTTGTTCTTCTGCTGCTTGTTTCCGCTCCTCTTCAAGCTCTTGGTGAAGGGCCTAAATTCAAGGTCCGATGCTACCGTAACAGTTTTCGAACCTGAATAATGTCGTGCTTTACCAGCCGCAACTTTTCTTGCGTGTTGATCGCACACGTGTGAGGGGCAATTTTTCTAAAAAACTTTTTGTTCATTTTTTAGCGTTTAGATAGTATTGGCGGCAAAAACTCATAAAAATCTAAACATTTTTTACTTTTCCGTCAAAAATGTACATAAAATGGCCAAAATGGTCAAAAGTGTCGATTTTCTAATATTTTTGATATTTTTTACAACTTTCTAGCAATGAAAAACCACTAAAAACGCTGTAAAATACGCTAAATTTGAAGCGGAAACATAAAATGGACTTAAGGGAACAAATCCTACCTCTGCAGAATATTTGGCTGAATCTCGACGAAATTGTCGTCGAATCCACTAGACGCCGAGCCAACGTCCGTTGTGATTAATTTAAAGAGCTAAATTTTCGCATTATGCTCCAGCTAAAAACAATAATAGAAACCTGATGTTCTTTCTGAGCGGCTAAGTCGCTAATCAGGGCTTTCGAAGTTGACTTCTTGCCTTTCGGGTCTCTCAGTTTTTTCAGCTTTTGCTCTGTAATGTTTATATGGTTATTGCAGTATTTCAAAGATTTAAACAACGTAAAATCTCCCCGAATTTTTATTGACAATTACAAAAATTTCTTTTCCTACTTGAACATAGCTAAATTCTATTCAAAAAGCTATAAAAAATAGTTAGCAATACTTTACTAAACAATTTCGTCCTATTTTTGGACTTACCCAATGAAGAGAGATATTCCTTGTCGATGTCCGCTTCCGTTCGGCTGCTCATCACAATTCGGCCCAGCCCCCAGTAGTTTGTTTTTACAAAATTTTTATTGTTTTGTAAAAATGGGTCAGGAATGAGGGGATCACTAATAGCGGTCAGAACTTAGATAGCCTAATGGGATGGACTGGGCGGAATCGAGAGGAATCCGAGAAACAACATCCAAGGTTTGAGGACAGCGCGGTCCCGGGGCGACGTCTCGGTGCTCTATCAAGCACATGCGACCGCATAGTGTTCCTTTACGATGGACAATTCAGACCCGATAGATTTAGAGTCGTGTACTAACCGTTAGTTTTTACGCAAGTCCTGCAAATATTTATACATTTATCGCCTTGGTTCTGCAGCTGCAGCCATTTCCGGCTCTGGACGGTTAGCGGGGGGTTAGCACGGGGGAACCACTTTCTGTTTTTATCTATCTGTTGATGAGAGATCATGCATTTTTACAGTTTACACTTTACAGTTTTTAGTAGTTTTTGATTGCTAGAAAGTTATGAAAAATTTGAGAATGTTTCGTTTTTCATACATTTTTGACAAAAAAATCAAAAATTTTCGAAAATGTTATTATTTTTTATTGTTTTGGAGTTTAAAACTATCTGAACAGCTATAAAAATGGTTTATATTTTGCTATAGGGCGCTAAAGATACAGAGAAAAACTTGGTCCCCCCCCGCTAGTAGTCCAGAACTCCATCCTTCCTGTCTAAAAATTACAAGCTCGAATTAACTTATACAAGCTTACATACGGAAAACCAATAATCCTCAACTTGTAGTTTTCCAGCTTCAGCCATTTTCTTTAGTCCTATAAAATTTCATATGCAAAAAATACTTACAAAAACTTACAGATGAGCAAGCAACCCCCCGTCCGCCCTGCCAAACTGCCAGAACCGAAAGGAGGGCCGCAAGGCATCTTGGATGCGATTGCCGAAAAGGATGAGCTGCTGCTCTACTTCACCGCGTTCCTCGGCGTCGTCCTCCCCGGCGTCGTCTACCTCATCTACCGGCGAGTTCACGTTGTCTACGAGCGGTACGCCGCCAAAAAAGAGGCCGAGCGAATTGCCGATATCAAGGCGAGGTGCCAGATATCGATATTTTATTGTGGGAAGAAAAAGGCTGAGCAGAAAGCCCAGGACATGATGGAGAATTATAATGATGGGGTCTCGAATATCTACGATCTGACCAGCATCGATGCTTCAATTTTCTATACCTACAAAGGATTTGCCCTGTTCGTGATTGATAAATTTGAAGAGAAAGCGGAATGGTTTTTGGAATGGCTGGAAGATGTGGCAGCCGATAAAAGGTTAAAGAAAAAGACCTCTATCGAAGAGGTGCGCTACGCCATTTTTGCGATGAACGGCGGGAAAGCGGTTACGACGCTCGGGAAGCGGATGACAATCGTCGGGGCTAAAGAAATCTGGCCGGCCGTGGATATCGATAAGGAACTCACGGAAGAGCAGGAGAATGCGCTGTTCGAGGAGTGGAGGTCGGAGGTCCTCGAGGAGGTCGACAATTTCTTCATCGATCAAGCTTATGATGACGGGATCCCAGATGAACTGTCTAGCGAGGATGAAGATGGCAGCGAGGGCAAAAAAGATCGATGATTTCGCTTTCCACATTTATCTGGTTCAAGCCTGAACATAACTAAGTTTATTGGTGCTTTTTTTGTACAAAATTGGTGTCACGGAAATTGATCTCATTTTGAAATGTGCAACCAACTGGCGGCCGATACAACCAAACGAAATGCTCCATTTTAAAAACCCATTTAATGCATTTTTTAATTCTAAATCTTGCCCAAACAAAATTTAATCTCAATGCTAGCTTTTCTCGAATCTCTCCATCTAGTCTAATTTTCTCAAGTGTGCAATCTCCAAAGACCTTGCCATAATCGTTAAAAATGAATCTCAACGATGTCTTCTCGGGAATCTCATGATTTGCTGGACTTGAATGCGATAAATAAATTTTAGGGATGCTGAACGAGGGGAGCGCGGGGCCCAGCTTCGCTGCCCCATCCACCTCGGCCATCCCGACCGCGGGTATTGGCCGGATTCTGAGCACGAAGGTGGTGAAAGTGCCTGCGCCGAATAGGAATCGCATACACACGCCCTATCAAAACCAGGTAAGTATATTGTCGAGGTGCTGACTTATCAAAATCTTCGTCTAAACTTCGTTTTATCGCTGAGCTAGTTTTCTTACCAAAACTTTTACAGATGAACCCTCTATCCGGCACCATTCAAAAGAAACACTACACCATTAACGTGCCGATGCCAGGCATAAAACCGAAAGAATTCCCCGGCATCGAGGGTCTGCGCGAGATGAAGAAATTGAGAAGGGTATGAAACCCAACGTCAACAAACTAAATAAACCTCTAGATCGCCGTCGTTCCCACCGTGCCGCAATCGCTGTCGTGTGAAACCATCTTCATCACGCAGCCGTTGCGTAACGCCCAGAAGACGCGCTATGTGCTGCGAATCCCGAAAAGACACGGGGGCGACCAGATGGCCCAGCCGATCACTATCCCGCAGCAACATTGTAAGTTAGTTTTCTGAATCCGCGAAAAAATCATATCAGCTCCGAACGAGCCAATACATTGGAACGACGCGCCGCTGCTGGAATATCACTGTGTTCACAGCCAATGCTTTTGGAAGGGTGGGTCTGGGGTGTTTTAACCTACGGCAAATTCAGGAAAAACCGAGCAAGAGTTTACGGAGCATATGCGACGGCGGCATCCCGATGATTTTGATCAGAAAAATATCCCGGCTTCTCAGAAGCGCTCGTCAGGGGTAAATTACAGAATGTAACTAAAAAGGAATGGCTGTCATAATGTCGAAAACCTGCCGAAATTTGATAATGCCGACATTGCAGAATGTCGAAATGGAAATTGGTCGACAATATTAAATAGAAATACCAAATTTTTGAATTCTGAAATTTCGATATTACAAAACTTCCCGATTATAAAATTTCGAGATTATGAAAGTGACGTTTAAAAATACATCCTCTAGGTCCGCTGCTCTGAATGTGACGCAATCGTCTATTCTCGAGCCCTATTGCTGAAGCATATGGGAACAGCGCACGGGATAGCTCTACCCTCTTTTTCAAGGGTCTTCCAGACCGAAAGTGATTTGCAGGTAGAAATTTACGCAAAACGAAAATCTAGAGCGCCAATTTAGACATGGCTACGAAATGTTCGTGAAGCGTTTTGCGTGGATTTTGTGACCGGCTCGGGTCCGAAGCAATGGTCCAGCGGGGCCAGGATCTCGTAAGAACATAGCCATCCACTCAAACAATTGTCAATTCCAGATACCTAGTTTGTTCGAGGACCGGTGACGTGAAGGAGCGTCGGACCAAGAAATTCTGTCGCCCCACAAGGTCGACAATAAAATGCGGAAAAACGTGCACTGCCTACCTAAAGGTTAGATCATAGCCATGCCCTTCAAATCGTCGCTATCATAGACGCGAAAAGCTGAAGGTGAAGACGAGCTTGCGCCATTTGTCGTGGAAGGATGCCTTTATCATACCGGCCACAACATTGATCCCAATAGGTTCGTAATAAGTACGTTGTTTTTAGCACTATCTGAATTCAGAATCGTCTTAACCGGCGAAGAAATGGAATCCATATGTGCGGCCGGCGAGAAATTCGGCGAAATGGTATTGAACTATCCAATTCACGAAATAAGAGGTTCGTCATCACATTCAAAGCTAATTCAGAGACTTTTCAGAGCTTCTTGGTCCAACCGCTCCCCGTTTCCGTCTAATAGATGATAGTGAACTGCTAGAAGTCCTTCCAAAGTGGATCGAACAGTCTCTGGAGTGGAAGTATAAGGTAATTGCGCTTCCCTTTGTTTTTGAATGCAAGTCAGGCCGACCGGCGTACCGAAGCTGACCAACTTGCCGATACATTGGCCGTATACGACTCGAGTAGAGCAGCTCATGAGTAATCTTATGTTAAGGATATCCTATCGAAAATTTAGGATGAACGGTCAACAAATTTCGTTCGGGAGGCAGCCGGATGGGTACCGGCATGACCAATACAGTTATGAGCTTTTGGAGGAGGATCAGGAGGTATGCATTAACTGCTCGACCAAAAGATCTTAATTTTTCAGATGAGCGGCATCCTCTACGAATCCGTGCTAAACCCCGAAAACGAAAATGAATCTGAAGATGAACACATCATTAACGTGACCGACGACTTTGACGATATGTAGAAATAGGCCTAGACAGACATGCGAAGCTCAAAAAGTTATGTGATGTGTATGTTTAGAGTTTTATCGACATAAATCTATCCATTCCAAGTGACATTGAGACCATTTTTTTAATTGCAAGCTCGACTAATGCCTAGCAATCGTGGCATCAACCTGGGCCACTTGGGGAAGAGCAAGCAAAACCTTTCTCCTGTAGGCATTTAGATCAGCTTTGTAGATCGGGTTCCTCTCCAGGTATACCGTCTCCAGGCTCTCCAGTTTCTTCAGCTTATCAACCTCGGACCAGCTGTCGATCTTGTTGTCGTTTAGCTAAAAAAAGTTGCGTAAATGAATAAGGTATGCCAACTCTTACCCATAAATCAGTCACTTCGGACAATTCGGAAATCACCGAGAGATCTGTCAGCTGGTTGTTTCCCAAATCTATCAGCTCCAGATGTCGCTAAAGGAAATTAAGCGCTAAACCTTGCGGAATTACCAATGCAGACATTCCAGCGACGTCGTAAATCCCTTGATCAGATAGGTGAATTTCCGTCAGGTTCGTCAACGTCTCAACATTTTCCACTTTGGTCAGCCGATTGCCCTGTAAAAGATCATCGCATCGATAAATCAACAAACCGGCACACTCAGCGTTCGCAATTCCGTCATATGAGAAATGCCTTCGATCTGCCGAAGCTTGTTTTTTCCTAAAATAAAACACTTGAAGTGGATAAAAGTTCTACCTAGGAAAAGCTTTCTCACTTTCGTCAAATTTTCCAAGTTTTCAATTTTGCGAATTTGGTTGTCGCCAAGCTCGAGCAGTTCGATGTTGACCAATGTGGAGAGGCCCTAAAAAGAGGCTAACAACTGAGGTTATCATACATCGATGGCTTTGATCTTGTTGTGCACCAAGAATAGCTCTTGTAGTTTGACCAGTGTTTCCAAGCCCTCGATTTTGGTGATCCTGAAAAATGTTTTGGCAACTACAAGTGAGGTACCTATTATAGCTCAAGTCCAGCTTTTCCAAATTTACGAGCGGTGCCAAGTTTTCGATTTTTGTCAGCTGATTTTCGTTGAGGTCGAGTTCAGTTAACGTGACCAGGCTGCAGATTGCCGGCGACAATTCTTTCAGGAGATTGTTGCGAAGCCCGAGGCTCTGAAAGCTAAATTCCAAACAAAGGACACAAAATTACCTGCAACAAACGAAATCGCGACAAATCCGGGACCGCGTCAACTCTCGAATGCATTAAGTCGACATCCTAAATTTGAAAATACAACAATAGTGATTTCAATAGTACCGTTTCATCATCGGGATAGCGACTCAAGTCAAAGGTGTTCCGCTCCACCACATCCGGCACCTCATCCTCAATCACTGGAGCCACGTCGTCACCGGACTCCGACATTCCTATAATTTATTATTTTGGCAATACGTGAATGAACAGCTGCACGGAAGGTTAGTGAAAGGGACATCGTGCCACAATAAAACTAGCTACTCCTAAAAAGACCCGAATCAGAAAAATGACATAAATTGTATTCTATCGGGGAGACGAAGAACAACAACGTGATTTCAAAACCGCATTAGAAAGTACATCATAAACCGCGGCATGTTATTCTTATTTCTTCTCCTTCCTCTCAAACGGATCCCTCCATACATTCTGGCCTTGCGCTAATTCTTCTTTCGTTGCATCAATCAGCGCTCTTTCCCGGGCCTGCGCCTCCGCATAGTAGTCGTGGTTGAGCTTCGGATAAACGCCGACTGCGAAGAAGCCGAGTCCTGTGATCGTCACGACGGATACAACAGCCCAAGTGCCGAGTGGAATCTGGTTGAAGCGATTGAAGAAGGGTAGGGCTTGTCGTAGCCGCAGGTTTAACGTTAGCGGCGCTCCTTTTGGTACACGCATCTTCTAAAACGATAAATTGCTACTAGCAGTTTCATAAATAAGAGTCAAGAAGCGCGCGCTAGCAAAAAAAGTTTTGCTGTTGATCGCCTTGTTGTTTACCCGGGGCCTTTACATTATGTCATGCAAGGGGCGCGGGATAAGGGGCAGCGCCGTATGTCAAAGTCAGTCGCTACATCTAAAGGCACAAAACCTGCAGTGAAACTTGTCAACACAGTATACGAATACTTTAATCACCGCACCAGAGATTCTAAAATCACAATCAATTTGAAAATTGCATTTGAGCGAAAATCGTCAGAAAATGAGCACCGATTCATTGATTCAAGATAGGAAATGGGCCCAGAGCTGCGGCCAAGGTGGCAAAAAAGCGGGATTTGGTCATGGGGTGACTAGAGGAGACAATGGCTAGATTGCACCGCAGAGCTCTGACATTGGAAGAGTTGTTGGGCCGGAGGCTGGGCTTGGTAGTGCTTCAATCTTCGTCCAAAAAGGCATCATCCGCTTCCATGTACGATTCATATAGTCTAAACAACAATAAATAAAACCTGCGCCAGAAGTGAAAACCGAAATTTCAAACGGCGAAGAGCTACCTGCTTGTTTCCGCGCGTCGCCTCTTGCGCACAGTTTCGAGCTCTTGCAGCAGACTGGTCTCCGCATCATCCAGCTCATGTAAAATGGAGCGACGCCGCGAAGACGGCATCACGTTTGAAACCCTGAAAAATTCGGAATCAGTCTTCTAGCAAAAAATACCTTCGTGAGCCAGGCAGCGACGACGTAAGGTTTGGCGTACGCCGGGGAATATCCGGCATGTAGTCCGGCTGGAAGTCGTCATAGTCGTCATGTTCCTCCGCTTCAAATGAGTGCCGTCTGCGTTCTTGCCTTGACACGTCAGCTCCATTCTTCGCGAAATTCAAAAGCCTATCAATCGATATTTAGGCCCATTTTTGTAAGGTACCGCTTGGGGTCCGACACACGCGTCCCGATATCCTGCCAGTTGCTGTTCGGGGAACTCAGCAAATTGCGTAGCTTGTCCAGCTCCACCGCGGTCGTTTCTCGGGTCTAAAAACAAGCAAGTCCACGATGTAAGTTCTTTACTAACTTGTTGATCGTATTCTTCTGCCGTCAGGAAGCGTGGTGTCGGAGACGAATATTTCCAAATCCTAATCGAAAATATTATTAAGAAAAAAATATCACCCCAATTGGTGGAGCATAAACCGTAAGATGCGAAGCGGCGTCAGCAAGATCCAACTAAGTGGGAAGTTCCACCCGAAAAGCAACAACGCAATCGTGACCGCAGTGACCTCAATAAGCTAAAAAAATCATACATAGTTGATGAAACTAAATGCGTACCTGCGAGCCCCAGTAGATGCCAACAAACGAGAGGCCTTGTAGAAGCCACTGCATCAAGTTGTACGTGCGCTCTTCCGTTGGCGGGCCGCAATAATATGTGTAAGCGAGTGCGGCGGCAATCCAGATTGCCTGAAGTTCGAAAATAAGATCTACCTTCAAAAAGCTTACGAAGTAGCAAATGATGTAGTCGCGATATCCCGCCATCAGCCACGTCAAGTTCGAGTAAGCCGTTTGACAAATTAACGCCGTCACAGTCCAACCTCCAAGGATTATTGGGATGCCGATCGTCTTCTGAAGAATGCGATTTCTGATGGTAGCTTGAAAATACCTTCGGGGCAAATCTGTAGACTATAATCGCGATCACCAAGACGGCCGCCATAGCGCCTCCCGTTGCTCCACCTAAAAAAAGTTATAAAATATTTGCAGTAATCGTACCTGCATAATAGAAGGCCGTATGATGGACGAGTGTCGCGGCAAAACAAAAGAGCAGAATCGAGAAGGTGTAGACGCCGACGCGCGGTAAGCTGACGGCTAAATGGCTGCTAACAAAACACATTTATCGTACTCACGTGTAACAGTGACGGAGATATCGTATCGATCCTTCGCAGATACTCCGACATATGTCTCGTTGAATAGGGACAACCGCCTGCTTTGGAAAAACTGAAAACGATCTGATACCGGAAGCGGGGAGATACCTGATTCGTCGGGAGTAACCCAAACAAACTGTAGTCTTTTCCGTGAGCATTTAAGACGGCAGACTTATTGGGAGCCTAAGGAAAATGAATCAACCCCTAAAAATCTGATACCATATAAATTCGCAGTGATTCTTCATTTGCCGTTTCGATATTAAGGGCCACATCGGAGAAGGTATGCGCCAAAGTGTAGGGTAAAGCCCTCCATCGCCAGATCGTCAGCTGGGCGGTCGGATCAGATTTTTGGGGTAGCACCGTGAGATCTGAGAAGGATATATAAAACCGATGTTTAAATTACCTCTTTCGACTTTTAATGCACTTGTTATTGCCGGTAGAAGAAGGAATATTAATAGCCGCATCGATGCCAGACGGATGAGCAAGTCTGAAAAAAGAATATGCTTTTCAAAAGGAGGGATAGCCGACAAGAGATAGTTTCGAAACGGATGCGGAGTAATGCACACGGAAAACTGGCTACATTCTCAATCCCACTGACCGCCAACGGATGACACCAGTCAGTGATGACGTCAGCCAGGATGCCCGGCTCTTTACTTTTACGAACAATCCAATCATCTCTGATAATAATCGAAGCAACAATCGTGTGCATTTCTAATACCAAGTAAGTAACCGTTTATTTGACAACCGAATTCACGCCTGAGTGGAGATCAATGTAAAAGGTGGGAATGATGGAGAGGTGGGGGGAAAAGAAATTTGCGAATTTACAGTAAAAAAATATTTAGCGGACGCGGAACAGCATGCGGCGCTGCATCTTCTGCTGAATTTCGCCGCGTCGGATCAGCGAATGGATGACCTAGGGCGGCAATTGAGGAGATAAATCAATTACATACCTTCTTGACGAGGCCCTCCTGGTAATGTTGGCGATGGACAAAGTCTTGAACGATCAGGTGCTCGCTGACGTGGGTGCCGACGGCGAAGCGCTTCTTCAGCTGGCGTTCGATGCGCGAGATGGTTTCCTGCTCCTCGTTGCTGGTGAAGCCTTCCACGCCTGCAAAAAAAGAGGTCATCCTGCAAAAGGCTGTTCGCTCACCAGCAAGATTTCCGGTCGCGGCAGCCTCCATGGTGGAAACGCGGAACAAGCGAAGTGCTTCCTCGACATGACGCTCGTTGACGAAAGGTAGAAGTTCCATCTACAAAAAAAAACAATAAATCAAGAGGAGCCTCCCAACCTTAGCCAAAGCCTCGCTCATGCGAACAATGGCCTCGAGCTGACGGACGGTGATCGGGATCGCGCTCGGCTTCTGCTTTCCAATACCTAAGAAATTACATGCAGAGGAGCAAGAATCAAACATACGATTCTGAGCCGGCTCCTCGGCTTGCGGGTTGCGCATTCGCACGTAGTGGTTGATGAGCTTATCACTGGCCTGGTCCGTCAGTCTTGGGCCGCAGTTAGCGCGCGCGTACGAGATGTACTTCTTGAAGAAGTCGAGAGTCAGGTATCCGTCCCTGAAAAAGAAAGTTAAAGAAAAAGAAACGAGTCGCACTTGTCAAAGGTCTCCATCTTCTCGGGGGCCATCTCCAACCCTTCAACTGAAATATGATCGGTCTTCGAGCGTGACGCCGTGACGTGAACGTCGATGATATGTTTGGCGAGCGTCTAAAAATTTTTATAATCACTTTGAACGACAGCGATCGGATCAGCGTTCCTTTTTTGTGTTGTCGGCATACTATAGAAGAGTTATTTCCATGAAAGAAATAACCCCAATTGACGCAGCCTTGTCTGTTCTAAGGACGTAAGTATGATTTTCCGCTTCGCTTCCAAAAAGGAAACCAGATCATAGGGATCTGGCCATTGGGGTTGCGGGTTATTGAACAGCCTGTTTTAAAAAAATTTCTAGACACCTCATCGCGGTTGACGTCGTGCGTGTCCTTGACAATGTAGATCATGTCGAAACGGGACAGGATAGTCGGCAGGAAGTCGATGTTATCAGCTCCGCGTGAATCATCCCACCTGAGAAGCGGATTAATAAAACAATTAATGCCAACCTTCCATAAACGCTGTTGGCCGCAGCGAGGACCGAGCAGCGCGAGTTGAGAGTGGTGGTGATCCCAGCCTTGGCGATCGAGATCGTTTGCTGCTCCATAGCCTCGTGGATGGCCACGCGGTCATCCTCCCTCATCTTGTCGAACTCGTCAATGCACACTGCTCCACCGTCAGCCAACACCATCGCGCCGCCCTCCATGATGAAGCCGCGCTAAAAGGAAAGATGATGAAAACCAGGCGAAAAAAGCCCTGAAGATACACAAAACCTACAGAAGTGGGGTCCCTAATGATCGAGGCGGTCAAACCGGCAGCAGAAGATCCTTTTCCGGAAGTGTAGACTCCGATGGGAGAAACCTTCTCGACGAACTTGAGCAGCTGCGACTTGGCCGTTCCGGGGTCACCGAGCAGCAACACGTTGATGTCACCACGTCGAGTGATCCCATCGGGCATCCTAAGGTATTATCAGTCTTGCAAAGGCAATAAATTAAACCTCTTGCGAGAGCCACCAAATAGCAGACAGGCAATCGATTTCTTGATATCGACAGAACCGAAAATTGAGGGAGCAATCGACTTGGACAGCAGCTCGTAGACATCGCTGCGCTTCGCGATTTCACGGAAAGCGCGTTCCTGAGATTTTCTGAGGATAAAAGTTTATTTATACCTGCTCCGGAGTGAACTCGGTGGTACCAGTGCGTCCGGCTCCAGTAGTCTCCACCTTGATGCCCAAGACGCGCATGTACGGGGTGCGGATGCCGCTCAGCGACTTCTCCGAATTTCTCTAGAAACAAAACAGCGAGATAGTCAAGAACGGGTTGCTTACCCCTTGGAAAGCCTTCCGAATCGAGAACACGCCCACGATCGTGACGCGGCATCCCGGGTACACCTGATCGGTCAGGTAGCGATCGACGTAGAGAGGCAGATGGCGCGGCATTTCTCCATGAGGGACATCCTCTGGGTTCTCCTAAAAACAGAATTATTGAGAATCATTCCCAAAATTATACCTGAAGCTTGAGGGTCTGGAAGTCGACGCAGACGCACTTATCGGGGAGGATCACGTACGGATCCAGGGGACAACGCTGGGATTGTCCCGCTTGTGGACTAAAAGACAAATTGGCGCATTAGGATCTAAACGTACGCTCCACATTGACGAGGAAGCGAATAACCGTCGAACCCGGCCTTGATGCGCACATCTCCGACAGTGTGACGGCACTGTCGGCATTGTAGTGAGATTTTGGTGGCCTTGGCGCGGACCTAAAATATTTTGAGAAGGGACCAATCAAGAATACCTGGCTCGAAGCGATGATGATACCAGAGATCTTGACAATCTGGGACACTTGGCTGCTCTTCACTTTGCGGATAGTCGATGGGTACTCGTCGAGAGTCAACGTCACCTAAAAAGCTTATAAAAAGGGAGCAGAATTCGAGTACCTGAATGTCTTCCATCTCTTCCTGGCCGTCGGGGCGCGGCCTGGTGACTTCATCGGCAACGATTTTCGCTGCCTCCTCAAGCGCGGGCATGAAGCGGACCGGAGCAGTGCGAAGCTTTTGCGCGGCATCCTCGTCGAAAAGTTGAAGGTGGTTGAGTGACACATCCAGGTGGTACTTGCCCAAGTTGTAGTTCTGCTTCAATTGCTCACTAGACAAGATCATTGAGAACTACTTTCTTTTCCTTACCGATAGATCATGCCGAAGCCTCCGACGTTGTACTCGCGGATGAAGCGCCGGAAGTTGTTGCAGATTTCCTTGTACTCGGCCACGCTTTCTTGGCCAGCATCGCCACCGGCGTCGTTGGCGAAGAAACGCTCCTGGTAGAACAGGCCCTCCTCCATCGCTGAAAAAAAGAAGGTTGTAGATGATTTGAAAGGCTCCAAAATATAAACCAGAAAAGGCACTACTAAAATACACGTCTTTTGGCGTTAAAAAGTTATGATAGTTATTCGTGGTAAACTTATACATAAACTATCTAAAACGAATGCAAAAAAAGGTATTTCAGTTATGAACCTCGCAAATTGTTTAGCAAAAAAGCGGGCAGGAACATTTCTGGCGCGGGGATTTCCCGCACTTTTCGAAAGGGACTGGGGCGGGGGCTGGATTGGCTCGTACCACCATTCCCTAGCATAAAGACAGCCTTAGAAACTAAAGTTGCAAATAAACTTGAACTTTTTAACGTTAGAAATTTAGAAAAAAGCAAAGATTAGCTCAAAATGTTAATACTCTCATCAAGAAAAAAAAACGCTCCTGCGGATACGCTAGTGGACTACATACAGTGTGGTGTAGCTAATGTATAGAACGTAGCGATACGCGGAGGCTTTCTAAATCGTGTTGGAACTCCTAACCTCCACTCATTTGTCATTTTTGGATCCCAGTCGGTTTCAGCGTGCCCTTCCGAGAAGTGCCTACTCATATGGGGTTGCCGTGAAGGGGCCGTATCCATCAGCAGTCATCGGATATGCGAAGGATTCGTGGAGAAGCTCGATGGAGCAGCCGTTGATGTTTGCCTGCCGGATGATCGCCCACAATGCTTCATTGCTGGGGGCTTCACCAATTGCGACTCGTATAGAAGGCTTGCCGGGTTTACTACTAATGACACTTTTTTGGTCTCAACGCTAGGATTTTTGGAGGATTTCGTAATTACAGTAGCCTGTTTATCATTTTTATGATTCTAGGAGATTTGAAATTCCAAAGAAAAATATAGAGTAAAAAATAACCCTAAATAACTAAATTTTGTATGCCCCCCACATGCTCGCCCACACGCCCACCACCTGGACCACTAATGTGGGGGATGTCCAACAAGTTTTCCCTTGAGTTGCCCAATGACCGCCCCGAGGTTAGGCTTAGGCTTAGGCTTTTAGGCTTAGGCTTAGGCTTAGGCTTAGGCTTAGGCTTAGGCTTAGGCTTAGGCTTAGGCTTAGGCTTAGGCTCGGAGGTCGGCCCGGGAAATCAGCCATATCGATAGGCTAACGAAACGAAAGGCCGTATGGTTTATTGGGGTTCGAGAATTGAGAGCTGGCTTTTCCGTCTTTACCAGTCGATAACAGCCGCTTCGCGGCTGCTATCGACTGGTCCGTCTTTATAGTCCCTTTAGCTAGAGCAAGCAATAGGTACAAGCCCGAGAAAAACGTCATCGTCTTTTGATAGTTTTCTCTAGAGCATTTCCGAGCCTTTCACAGCTTCACGAGAACCCGGGTTCAAAAAGGGAGTTGGGGGCGAAGCTGTTCGACACTTCTGCGAATAGCAAGAAGTATTAGAGGGATGGTGGCGTCGTCTCCACTTCCTGGAGGAGGAGCTTCTCATTAGGGCGACGATCAGTCACGTCCCCAGTGCTGGAATCTAGATAATTAGCCTCGCCACACGGCACCACCGTGATGCCAGCTATTTTTCTAGCAGCTTCATGTGGCGCTTCCGCCTTCATTTTGACCCCCACTTCCCCGGGATAATTTCTGGTCCCTCATTCATGCTAAAAGTTGAATCTCGTCTTTTTATCAGGCTCCGCCTACCGTATACCGACGTCGGCTATCAAATAATTCTAAATGGCGGAACAAAAATGGACGCGCGGATCCGGTCGGGGAAAACAATTTATTATTTCGCTATCCCGATTTGCTCGCGCCCATTTTCCGACTCATCGCGATAATCCTATTTACGGTTAGCCGGATAGCAGCCGGCCGCCGAAAATGGCAGTCCAAATAGGATTTTTTTTTGCGCATGTTCTAGATCGGGTCGATTTTCTGGAAGGGGATCGTACGGCGGGTGACGAGAGGAAGAAATGATTAATGTTACCGTGGCATTTTAGTCTTGTTGGTGCTTTCGCAGAATCGAAGGAACCGATTTTTCTGCGATAGGAATCTAAACTTCTCTCTATTTATTTTTAAAATATCGATAGTGGAAGTGTTTCTAAATGTTTTTTACTATTCCTAAACGTGAAAACTTTACAAATTTTGTATTTAATAAGTACAACAATCATAGATTTTTCGATGAAACATTCCAATTTTTTTAAACAAAATTTCGACTTTTCCAACATTTTTTAGCGTTTTTGGGTATTTTATATAGTCATATATTGGTTCGATGCGGGAATTGAGGTGAGGGCAGAAGCTGTCTGTCTAACGGCTGTGGGTCTATAGGTGCGGCCGACGGAGGTGCGGGATGTTTTTCCGGCGCCATCCAAAATGAAGTCGCACTCGCCTCTTATTTGGAGCGGCTCTCCTGGAAGAGCTTTGGGGTCGGCCGGCTGATGGGTTTACCGCTTTGATACATCCGATATCTTTTTCGTGGTTACTTTGGCGCTTCTCCCGGCTGTACTAGAATGTAACTTGTTTTCCTGCTTTTTTCGTTTTTCACTTCCCGCTTTCTAGACTTCGTTGCACTTGGCAAATTTGAAAGGTAAAAAAATACTCTTAAAACGATGAAAGTTCTAATAGAGTATGCCTAAGCCTAAGCCGAAGCTGTAGAACTTTTGGCTTTTTGGGCTTCGATTTAAATTTCTTTAGCTTTCTTCGCTTTTGTACTAGACAAAGTTACATAATACAACTTTAAAACTCGGAAAATTCAAACAAAAAATGCGGCATTTCCGCGCTTCTCCGCGGTCCCAAGGATCTAGATAGATAGCTATTTTTCGCATTTCATTCTTCGAAATTCAACGGGTTTTCAGGAATTTCTCGCACTTTTCGAAAGCTAAAGGTACAAAGGTACCTAAATAACTTTAAATACGCAAAAATCTCCCAATATTCAAACGATCACGCGCCAGATCCGGCTTCTGTTTTGCAAAGGGCATCCCCCAGGCGTGGTATACCGTATTACGGCCGCCCGGAAATGTAGTTATTTTCCCGGAAAGGTGCTGTCAAAAATGGGGGATATTCAGAGGGATTTATCCGGAAGGTGTTGAAGATTTCGCCATTTCTAGTCTTTTATAACACTCTAAAAAACTCCAGTTTTTCTCAGAATTCCAAGAAAGTTGCCCAGTCCCTCTAAAACAACGAAAGCCCTGGATCCAGCTGTCAATTCCGCGAGCCCAATCTGCCGAGTAACTTTTCGGTCTCTCTCTCGTCAGCTCGATTCCGGATGGACGACCGGCCGGAAGACGCGCAATCAGCCGGCCATCAGTCCACTCGGCTCTTTTTTTTTCTGATGCTCTTCTTCCTCCTCATCCTCGTCCTCACACCCACCCAAACATTTCCAATCGAGCGCCAAAGTTGCACTTCCCTGTCTAATGCCCTTGTGATTGTTGTCATGCTCATGGTCGTTTTATAATTTCAGAAAGTTTTTTTGGTTTTTCGTTGTTCAGAAGTTCAGAAATTCTTGAGCTTAATCTTATGCATATGCTTCGGCTTAGGGTCGGACGTTAGTTAGGCTTAGGCTTAGGCTTGGAGTTAGGATTTAGAGAGATTTTCTAGCGATATTTTGTATTTTTCGCTTCTAAATTATGCAGTTTTCATGTCTAACAATAGCAGAATTAAAAATTAGACTTAGTGTTAGGCTTTTATCATTTTTTTTTGTTTTGCGAATGTGGATCTCAAATTGCCGCCACTCACTTTTGCAACTCCGGCAAAAAGCAAAAGTGCTCCTCTGGCGGCGGTGGTGAGTGAACGGCTTTTTCGGCTGGCCCATTCCCCACCCCCACCCAGCAATAACACGGTGCCCCATAAAAGCGAATTGCTTCAATTTATAAGTCGCTCTCGGCGGGACCGGGGTTTTTTTGTTGTCCGCCGGCGTCGACATGACCGGCCGGGCGACGCCTCCATCAAGTGCACACGAATTTCCGTTTGGCCGCCTCAAAAACTGCCTCAAAAAAGGGAAAGTGCAATGGAATTCATTATTTCGATGTGGTGCCCTTTTTCTTTGGGAGGCGATCGGCGCAAAGCGAATCAATCAACTGTGCTATAAACGATTCTTTTCACTTGAAAAGCGGAACTTTGGTTTCTTTTTCATAGACGTTAACTATCTTTCATTTTCATTTCGACTTTTAGACCTTTCAGGGCTGCCCTTTTTTCTTCTTTGTCCAAAAGGATGTTGCAACGCGCGCACAAAATCAGATGTCAATAGGAGCACGATGTAGTTTTCCAGGTCGAACACGGCCTAGTAAAGTTTATGCACCTTTAGCGTGTCATTCTTTTGACTTTTCGTGCTTTTTCTTGTGATTGTAACTCAAAAATTTCTTCTTTTCCAGTGCCACTTTGCTCAAGTTGTCGCTTTTCGAAGCTCTTTTAGAAAACTAACGAAAAGAATAACTTGTATTTTCGCATCCATGTATTTTGGCATACCCACCAATGTTTGCCAAATTTTTCGAGCCGTGCCACATCCCCATTTGCCGTTTTCATTTCGACCCCGGGCGACGGGGTTCCAGGAGCTCGCCTCGGCTTTGGACCCACGCGGCTCAGAAAATAATTCTCGCACTCCCCGCGTCCCCAGCGCCACGCCATGAGGTCATTTAGTTTTGCCAAAACATGAGAGCGGGACACAATTTGGACTCCTCAGAGAGGCTGTGGTCGCAACAGCAAATTTTCAATTACCCGCCGTGCAACTATTTTTGGGTGGGGGGGGATCGGTAGGGATGAATGGGATGTGTGTAATGGAGTAGTAGTGGTGGCGGGAAGTAGCAGAACGAGCAAAAGCTAACCCCGGAAGTGACGCTGTAGCTCCTGTAAGCTAGAAGCTGTGATTTTTTTAGTGCTTCCTGTTTAGCGGGAGACCAATTTTTCATCGAATCCGATTTTTAAGCACTTAGTGCTGATTTTAGATATAAAACTTCTCAAAATTCTTGAAAATGTTGTCTTTGTCGCCGAAAATTGGTACTGGACTGTTAGCAGGGGGAACCGATCTTGCGCAGTAATCCTGT